AGAAAAAAGTTTTTTTTAAATTAAATGCAAATCTCTAAAAGTCTGTTGTTATTAGAAGATTTAATTATGATTTACATAATCATTAATTACAAATTAAATAAATATATAACAAAAATACAATTATTATCAACATGTTAATTCTATTTGTTCAACAACAAGGAGATAAGATTTAATCATCAAATCAGTCAGGAGGTGGTATCTTCATTTATAGAAAAAAGAAAAAATTATAATTTAAAAACAATTCACAAGTCAACAAAACATGTGATGACAGCTAAAAGGAAGAGTAACAGATTTGAGCTTAAGGGTATAGTGATATTGATGTAAATTGTACAAATTTAAATCATGAATTTGTACCAACTTCAAACTAACTTGTAAAATTACACCTCAAATTTCATTTATTTTATAAAGTAGTCACCCTCCAAAAGTAAAGATAGAAAGAGGTTGTAGAAACTTAAGGTATTATTACATGTAACTGAGGGAATTCAGGTCTTTACAATGGGTTATTTCTAAGAATTTTGTGTTAGGAATGTAGTATCAAATTGAATATAAAACATGTATATCACTGCTTATTTCAAATTAAGCTTTGTTATTCTCTTGCCCTGAGTGGTTTAAAAAGTGTTTATATGCTCACAGTAGGAGAAAATGCAATTGTTGCATGCCAAAATAATGGGGACATAGCATTTTTGAAACAAAGCCAAGCATTGCATGACAAGCAGATTATTGGTAAACACATTAAAAACTGCCCTAAGCCCTATTTTCACATTTTACAAATATTTTACACAATAACAAGATTGTGTTACTCCACCACTCCTGTGACATGCATTTTCAATAAAGTTATATCCACCAGACTAATATTCCAAATGGTAACACATTGGTATCATCAAATTATTTAAAGTTAATTTGTTATGTATAAAGCTGTTATATGTGAATGAATAAAAGGAATATTACTTTAGTTTCAGTTTTAAGATCAGCATTTGGCTTTTGTACAAGTATGCACTTTGAAATCTAATTCTTAGAGTTTCAGTAGTACTAAACTACTTAAGCAATCTTTGGTTAAAATTGTAAGGGAGATCAGAGCACATATAAATCCACAACAAAAACAGAATTAGGCAGTTCTTTTCAAGGTTTATAGTAACAAACTTTAAGGCTGTGCTTAACTTAAGCTTGGTAATCTAGGAAAGCCCAGTTCTTTTTTAATTTGATAACCTAACTGGAATCTGTGAATTTTTTTTTTCAATCTAAACTGTGACCCCAATTCCTGCATGAACCTTAACTTAAAGGCTTCAATTGATTCACCTGGGGCCAGTGAGCTTGCCTGATAACACACGCATTGAAGGCAACACATGGCTTTAGTAAAAAAAAAAAAAAAAAACATTTTTATATCCTGTTAAATACTCAGTTGGAAACCACAAAGGAAATGTGAGCCCCTGCAGAAGCATGTATTAATATCACATTGCATTTTTGAGGTCCTAATTGATCAGATTCTTTTATATTTAGCACCTTGTGTTGATCATATGATAACAAAATGCTCACCACATGTCGCCCACAGCCAAAATGGTGAAACAACCTTTGATCATAATTTCATTCTAGAAGGCAAATCATTCATGCAGAAAACCTTCTACATCTTTTTTTAATTTAAACCAAATATAAGGATATTACTTGTCAAACAAAAGAGATTTAATGATGCAAGCAAGAAATAATCTGTAAGTAATTGTTTTAAAATCTAAGGCAGAGCGCATTCTTCCTAAAATGACTTTATCCCCTTATCTTCAGCAATCTTATGTCCTATTCAAGTATTTAATCCAGAGATGTTAATTACTCCCACATCCTCTTATGCCAAAATTAGAAAAAGAAAATAGATTCAGCAGATTTGTAAGGAAAGATATGGAAATTACAGGTAACATTCCCACCAAATATGTTCTCTAGAGACTTCAATGGCTAGGTTTTTCACAAAACGGCAAATTACTGCTTATTATTTCATGAAAGTGGTCATGCTTGAAGGAATAAGTTTCTTTGTGGTATTATGGAAATTACTTTTAATTACGTCTGATACTTCAATCAGATTTACGACGGGAGACATGTTTCAGATCATGCAAAGATTGACAAGCAAGATATTTGGATTCTCCTTTCCGATGAGAGATTTAACTAAAACCAGAAGTAAATTTGACTCACCTCAATTTTCTACTGATATTAAATCCTATTAAGATTGATCTTCCTTTTTTCCCAAGACAAAACATTTAATAAAACAAATATAAAAACAATGGAATCAAGAAAGCTTAATAATAGGAAACATCTGCTAAAGGAGTTAAGAATGATCAAATAAATCTTTAATCACACCAATAGTCAAATTGGCAATATTTATATTTCATGCATATCAGATCTACACAATTTTCTAAAAATACAAAGAATTGAAATCTTACCATTGAGATCTTTGAGATGAAGCACGGCTCTTGTGGTGTTGTGGATTAAGTGAAGTGCCCAGATTGATGCATCCTCCATACTGACATAAACACGAGCATTTATATTCATCAGGCAAACCAAACGATACAAGGCAAGACAGCTTGGAATGGGTTCAACTCCAAATCCGTGACCATGTAGTGAGTCATAATTTGCATCAAATGTGACACCCCCCTGAATCCAGAGTTCGGGGAAGGTAGGCATACAGTCATGAAACACCCACATATTATTGTTTACATCATAGTTTACAAACAAATGGGGGACATAATTGTTATTTACTACTGTCCACATCCCAGCCACTTCTGCTTGAATTTTGTGCTGTTCCTCAATATCCCAGTGATTGCTGCTAATGAAGTATTCACAGTTACTGACATAACCAGTGTCAAAGCCTCCTTCTGATTCATCATCACTGTCAGTGGTGCTACTTGCAATTATACGTCTAGCCTTAGTGTCCTTTCTCTCAAAAGAAAATTGATTACTGATGCTTCTCAATGGCGATCTTGGGCTAGATAACCCACAGCTAGATAGTGACGATGTTGCAGAGTTACATCTACTACTGAGAAGTTTCGGAGGGGACAGGAACAACTCCTTGAACGTACTCACCCCCATAGGATGCATCAGAAAATGAGGGTGGGTGAGTAGGGTAAGAAGTTCGAGAGCATCTTCTCTGAAGGCTACTGATGTTGGACTGCCGTTGGACAAGGTACACGACATAGCAGCTTTCCAATCGAAAACTTCGAAATGAACCCCTGTCTCCCTGTGCTTCAGCCGGTATCTCCATATGCGATAAAAAGTTAACCCGGTTTCCTCCGTCGCATAGGCACGAAATAGACAAAGCCAACGAAACATAACCATGCAACTAGGGATAACTTGATACGGTCGGATGTAGCGTGCTGGTTTTGTCGAAGCTTTCATTTTGCCACTAAACCAGTCCTCGTTGTATCCCCTTCGCTTGTCGATGAAAGTCCACTTGAGATCGTGAGTGTCAAAGAATAATTCAAAGTTCTTATTGAAACCTGACGTGTTGAACTCGTCCTCCTGCTCAAAAACATCCGGAACTTCCCACTTCATCATGGTTCCCGCCATGTGCAAGAACATACTTTCACGCAATTCAATCTCGGTCAACTCATCACCGCTAACACAACAGCAGATGAAATATTTCATATAATCGGCTGTATAGTTTCCCCTTAGAGACAACTCTTGATAAGTGTTCATCCAATTGACGCACGATAGAGACACTTTCTCGTACAGAAACTTCTGCGATGGCCACCGCAATAGTACAAGTCTTCGCCAAAGCGACGGAGTTTTAGCGATGCTCCTCCACTGCTTACAAACCCACGAGCACTTCGTCAGAGTCGGTCCATTAAGATATCCAAATATATGAAGAAGAATTTCGTCTAAAAACACAGCCATAACTTTCTGACGATGTTGACATAGGAAAAATAAAATCGCGCGCCACCTACGATTTCGTCTCGACAAGTTTTTGTTCTCGTCACGAGGTAATGGTTTTGTTTACTTCGCCACCACCGGAAGTCGACCTCGTCTCAAGGAAAGTACCGGAGATGACGTTTCCGAAGTCTCGACGAATTTACTATCGTGACTTCCGGCCAGCTCGCGACTAATTTTCGGAAGTCGAAGCTCGTAAGCAGGCTCAGAAAGTTATGGCATAGAAGTCGGCTGGGGATGGAACAACGGCTGTCGGCGAACGTTAATATATTGCACAAGTTTTCAACGTGGCATAGATCCTTTGCTCTTTAAAAGTATTTCCTAACCCTACAGCAATTTTCTAAAACAACACAGCCAAGGCAAAGGTACACTCGTTCTTTTGATTCTTTTATCTATACATTGTTGTTGTTCTGGCTGTAAGCTTGACGTGGCATGTGGCCTGAAGAGAAATCAATTTAACCGTATTTTTTGTACATTTTGTTTTCATTTCCTCTGTCCCTTCGGTCAATTAAGCTGAGCTACTGAGAAGCAATTTTGTAAAGAAAGATACTCAATCACTCAGAGTTCGGCAACGCAAACATCCTTTCAAAATCAATGTTCGATCGAATACATAACTCTCATTACAGTGTAGCATAATTATCTTAAATGATACGTGTACTTTTCGATAGCATCGATCTGATCAATGTTAAATAGGTAACATACCGATGATCTCCACTAACCTCCCCTCTACAAAGCTCCTTGTTTAGATTTTCAAGTTTCTAATAAGCTCCTTTCCCCATACATCATTAGATATTTATCAAATCTAGGCTACTGTTCATTCTTGGAGACCCAGGGGCTGTGAGGATGGGCTACTGTTTAGAAAGTTATTATAAATTGCATCAAAGCCCCAATGGCAAGTATTCTGTTCCTCTCCACTTCTCTCTGATTTTAGCTCTGTCTACCCTCATTATTCTATGCCAAGGTTCTTTTCCAGACATTTCACTTTTACTGATGTAAAGAATACCTTAAATGATATTGCAAGGTCTTTGCTCAGGAAAGGTCTGTTGTTTCACCAAATTTAACTCACAATCAGTTGCAAAATTTAAATTGTTTCCTTTGCTTTAGCACAGAGTTCATGATTTTTAGATGCATTCATACTGATATAATTTCTTCAGGTCAGGTCCAGTTAAATTTTTAGGGCATCTTTGCTTGCTTGATTTTTTCCTCTTACTTTGCTATTAGCCTGTCCCTTACTTGATATTTGTATGAGGGACTTTTTGAGTGTTCATGTTTATTTAAAAATGCATTGTTTGACCTATATCTGTTCTTTTTCTTTGTAGAAACCTTCAAGAAAGAACTTTGTGATCCACAGAAATATGCTTGTGATTGTATACATCTCGTTTGGTGTTCTTTCCGCACTTTGTGGTATTTTCCACTTTTGGTGCAAAACAGGTCAAAGGGATGACACGATGATAGTCAACCCCAACTTTGTCTCATTCCAAAATAGCTACTTCAGAGTTTACTTCCTAGCACTAATGGCTGAATGGCTCCAGGGACCGTACCTTTACAAACTCTACAGTCACTATGGCTTCATTGACACGCAAATTGCCATAATTTATGTGTGTGGCTTTGCCTCAAGTGTTGTGTTTGGAACTTCTAGTGGATACTTTGCAAGTGTGTTTGGCCGTAAAAAGGCTTGTGTAGTTTTCACATTACTGTACTCATTGTGCTGCCTGACGAAGCTGTCAAGAAACTATGGTATTCTAATCCTTGGAAGAATTTTGGGTGGAATCTCTACTTCCTTGTTATTCACAGCTTTTGATGCATGGTATTTGTATGAACACACACAGACCCATAATTTTCCTAGTGAGTGGGTTTCTGCAACATTTGCCAAAGCAACACTCTACAACAGCATCATCTCTGTAGTAGCTGGGATTTTAGCCAACACCGTAGCTGAATGGATGCCTTTTGGACCAGTGGCCCCATTTGTCCTTGCCATACCATTTCTTATTGCAACTGGGATTTTGATCCAATTTACTTGGGATGAAAACTATGGTGGAAGAAATAACAAAGTCATTCAACCATGTATTGAGAGCCTACGGCATATTATAACAAACAACAAAGTCATGTCTATTGGCATTGTTACCTCACTTTTTGAGAGTGCCATGTACATATTTGTTTTTTTGTGGACTCCTGTTTTGGACAGAGGGCATTTGTATCCTCCTCTGGGAATCATCTTTTCATGTTTCATGCTGTGTGTTACTCTTGGAGGCTTTCTGTTCAATTTTACCGTCAAACTAGGTATAAACCCAGCCAATGTTGTGATTTTAACTGTTATTGTAGCATCTGGGGCAAATATTGGTGCAGTTTTTTCCAATGCCTTGCATCCGAGTACATCATTTATTCTGTTTATTATCTTGGAACTAGCTTGTGGACTGTACTTCCCAGCAATGGGTTGGTTGAGACAAAGGATTCTACCTGAGGCCCATCATGCTGGTATTATAAACTGGTTCAGAGTACCGCTGAATGCTACTGCTGCAATTGTTTTGATGGTACTTCATGACACTCATAGCAGTCATGGTATATCTGCAATATTTGCCCTTTGTTCATTATTGTTGGCTGTGGCAGGTATTGCTGCTGTAAGACTCTCCGTCCTGTCAAGAAATGATGAAAATTTGAAACTTGTCCATGACATGGAAGAAGGACTTTGAAGAACTACATCTAATCAGATATATCTTGCCTTTGGAAGATGTGATCTTCATTTTTAGGTCACAACATGAAGGAAAGGGGTTGACTAAGAAAATTGTATGGCTGTAAGTCACTAACCTCACTTCAGTTTGATGTAGAAACATTTTACACGCTTAAGTGGCCATATTTATTTTCATTGAACTTGAAGAAAAATTTTTAACACATGACAGTATGTGTAAGATTCAGGACAAGGTAGTGTTCGTTACTGTAAGTTCCCCCCCTTAACTACGGCCTTTCTCAAGAGAAGTTCCCCCAACCATAGCTTTCCCCCCCTAAAGAAATATAATTAAAGCATAACATGTGGTGATTAGATATCATCATCAGAACTTGACTTGAGCTAAAACTTGAAAGGTGATCAATCAAAAATTGTTATGGCAGTGTATGATATATTATAGTGACCAAGAAAGCCAAGAAAGCTAAGTAATTGATCTTAGTTAATTCCTTTCTTTTGTATGTAATTATCTTTTCCTCTCTTTATGTATTAATTTTCTAGCAGATATAAATGTTCATGTTTTCCCATATTTATTATAATTTTAAGTTGTGTATATTTAAACTCTACACTGCCTAGATCAGTTATGCTATTTATCTATTAACTTTCATTATTTAAAATAAATCAGTTGGAGAAATTTGTCGCAATTTTTTTATCATACATATAGATAACAGTTTCATCTGTTGTTTCCCCACACATCAGACTTTTAACATTCCAACAAAATCCAACCTTTCTGATCAACACTCACTTAACCCTTTACACTCTAACATCAGTGCTTAAATTCTCCATACTGTTCTTCATACATTTCCCAAGGACATGACAAGGAGAAGTAGTTTTAAAATCAAGGGCTTCTTTGATGATCGTTTCCTTTAATCTCATGACATTGATGTTTGATTCAGAAAGTAGATGCTAGTCACTCAAAGGGGTTAAATGGTTGAAGCGTCTTGTATAGAATTTGATTAAGAACTACTTGTATTCCTCTAGTTTAAGATTCAAGAACTTCTTTAGTTGGTAATCATTTCCTTTATTCTCATGACCAATATATGATTCAGGGGTGATATTGTAAGGAGAAATTAGATGCTGGTCACTCTTAAGGGTCAATGGGTTTTGCTTCAGTATGGGGCATTGAGAGCATTCTTAAAACTGTAGATTTCCCGGGGTGGGGCGAAGGAATGAATGGGCTTAGAGTTGAGGGGGTGATGGGCAACATTCTTGTTTCAAAACGAAAGTAGGTCTGAGCAGCAATCAAAACATTGCATTGCACGCTTATTCTTTCTTAGAAATTAATTTTTATTTTGTCTAAATTGTATTACAAACTCTTATCTTTGACTGAATTCGTTTTCATCTGATTCAAATTACTATAATCTTATCCACGCCGTACTCAAGAAAGGGAGTGTTGAGCAATAGCATCTCGAAGCTTTGACAAAGGTTCTTACAAGTGGATGTCAACACCGTGCATAGCTGAGAGCTTAGTTCAAAAGCACCAACCAGCTGGGGTACGATTTCTCGCGCTGCCATGTCTTTATTTCACACGATGATATGTCAGCCAAGCAAATGTGATAACAGCGGGTAAGGAGGTTGGAGGAAATAAATTCTGCTCTTAAAGAAGATCTACCATAAATAATTCTATGGTTAAAAATCACTGCCAGCTTTCCAATACACTTTCATATTCGTCTGGTGAGATAAAGGGTTGATCCACAGATCTGATGAAGACAATAAGAGAATGAAAGTCAGTGTTGTAGGAGTTTCAATGGAGGTAAGCATAAGCGACATCACAAGAACCAATCAGAACAAAGGTTACCGTCGTCATCAGCCAGTAAAAATTCAAATCAAAAACCTCAAAAAGCGCGGGAAAACGCGGCTGACCAATTCACAAATGGTTTTCGTTTTGCATCTAATTGGCCGAAAGGATGGCGTGGGTTTTCTAAACCAATCACAGATGGACGTAACGCAAAATCAAGGTAGTCCCAAAAAATTCGACACTCAATTGAAAATGACTGCACTTGCTGTCGCGAAGTTCCAACAGTAACGTGAACTCCGCTTTTAGATATGCGCGGTTTTTAACCCTTGAGATACCTTTATAACTAGGTTGTTTGAAGAAAATAAATGGCTTTTATAACGTGTTAAACCTGGCTTACTACAATCAACGTTCAAATGAAACGTTTAGCTGAGAAAGTTTAGAAGGTGATTCTGTCGAACATCAACTTAGCTTCGTTTAAATAATCAGACCCTGTATTTCTTGCTGACACATTACCTGCGTGGTTTGATTTCTCGCTAAACTGAATTAGTAGGTCTACCTCGCAACGAATTACTCAGTTAAGATACAGCATCACCAAAATCAAGCGCTATCAGGACTGCTTTGGATTTGCTTTAAATCGTTATACGATTGGTCCATATGACTCGCGCCACTAGGTCAACCAATCAAATTCAAAACTGAAACCAGTTGCGACTTGGTCACGCGTCTTCCCGCGCTTGGGAAATTTGCTTGCCATTAATCCGAGTTTTCATTTGCTCCTCGAGATATCTTCCATTGTTGTAATTGGGTGTTATATAATGTTCCTACCTGATCATAATTTCCCCACAGAAAGGACATTCTGATGCGATCAGGTCATCCAGCTCATTCTAAGGAAAATGAGTATATCAAACGGCAATTTTCTACGATTTCAAGCCTTCGAGGTTACAGAGCAAGTATAATCCATTATGTTCTCCTGAAACACAAAGTTTTGTTTCTCTGTTTTGTTCGGTTTAGTTGATTTGTCTGTTTTTTCTCTTTCTTTTGCTTTTAATTTTAGTATTTGGTGGTGCTTGCACTACTAACAACGATATCAAATTAACGCCACAACCAGCAACGAGTTTTCCAACGCCATGCAGCGGTAACTTGCTATGTTTCAGTGAGTTTCGTTCTATTGGTTAACACTTAAGTCAACATTTTATCCCAAGAGAGACCAACAAGTTATTTCCTTTTAAACCATTACCAATGTCATGCAGAACGGCTAAGGTAATTGAGGGGAAATGTAGCCTAGCCTAACAGGGTGTTACTTTATTTTATAGAAAAGACTCCCCTCCCCAACCCATCGCCAAAAAGAAAGGAAAACACTTAAGATAAATTAATAGTATTCTAATTTATAGAAAGGCAAAATGTAAATTTCCTTTGAGATCTTGTAAGTAAAAGGGTAAGCGCCCTTGCTGGACTATTTAACTCACTGATTGCAAGGCGTTCTAATGATGGTGCACGCACTTTTCTCGATGACCTAACAGTAGCAAACCGGACAAAGTTCTTTACAATGACTCTCACAATTTCAAAATACCTTGAGAGTTTCTCGTGAGGTCGATGAAACCGAGGATGAATCAGTTCTTGACGTCGCGTAGAGCTGGTTAAATAGGTCTTGAACCTTAGCCCTGAAAGATAAGTAGACATTTATCTTTAACATAACGAGAAAGTCCTGGATTAGGTGGCGACAAATATACTTGCTCTTTGATAACATTTTAAGGTCACCTCTATCATTCTCTAATCTGAATATATCAGTAAATTTATCATTTATTCTCTAGTTTGGCCTTCTCTCCATATCAAACAGGCTTTTCCCAAAGAGGAGAAATTTCAAAACACCTCCTTTGAGGTATTCTGTGAATAATTCAAAAACAGTGCATTTTGAAAATACTGACGTCAATTTATGCCTGCTATAATCCCCTTGCGACCATTCTGTGCGCATGTGCTTCTTATCAAGGAGCTCCAGGGGAAGAAAGAGAACCCTCAACACGTTACTGAGCGTTTTAGAATCGGCAGGGGGTTAGGAACTAACTATGGGACGAACTATAATTTAGTTTTACATATGTCTTGTGAGCTAAAATTGTCATACCTCTGTTTTTCTTTAAGATGTGGTAAAATCTGCAACAAGAGGTGAAAGTCAGATAGAATCATTAACACAAAATAAATGATAATATCAAAGGGCAAGTAATGTTGATTGCTATATTTATGTTATGTCAAATTGTTACATCTACAAATCTGGTCAATTCCCTAACATAGGTTGAATGTCTGGTTCGCCACACGATGAATTAGTCAACAATGTTTCCTCAGAATTTACAGGGACAAATTTATATTAACAATAAATGTGCAATACTGATGTAGACAACGGTCATGGAAGATGGCAACGGGATAGACCCCCACCACCTAAAGCATCCTTTACATCGAGTAAAATACCAGTTTTAATGAAAATTCCCGGTTCAGTTGTCAAAAACGTCAGAACTGTTAAGAGAATCTTGGGTTAAAATAGTGGAAATCAAGCTCGCAGTAACAAAGGCTAACAAAAATTAGCACTACTAAGATCAATGGAAATTCCTAAATAGCGCAGTTTTCAAATGACTGTCGTAAAAACGAAACCCAAAGTAATCACAATAGTCAATCAAATATTTACGTTATCATTGGCCAATGAGGACTCAAAGTAAAAACAAAAAAACAACCAAAAGTGCGGGAAAACGCGGGCGACAAAATCACGATCGGTTTTCGTTTGGCATCTGATTGGTTTAGAGCATCGCGCTGGTTTTTTGAACCAATCGTTGAACGGAGTAAAGCAAAGCCAAGACAATCCGGGCTACATTCGACACTCAATTGAAAATTGCCTTAAAGTAAGCATTGTAAGATCAAGTGCACACCTCATTCTTAAGACAATCTGAATGGAAGGAATGATGACAGGGAAACACATAGAAGCCTCTTGTAAGAAGTGGATATAGGCATATCGAACACTTCTCTTGAGCTGGTACAATACTGTATCTGAAATGTCCAGCGAAAAAGAATGAAAAAAATGGGTTAGAAACTACATCAATGGCAATACGACCTTGAAGCTGCAGTGAGTATGGATTATTAACAGAACAAAGCCCTGGAACATTGACGTAATACAGACATCAATTTAAGGAAATGCAGTTTACACGGAGGAAAAAAATTAAATTCACGAGTGATTTCAGAACAATGGTGGCCCAACGAAATGAAACTGCACGCCTTGAAGACAGCAGAAACAGGACAAATTTTCCCGGCAAGAAATCCAAATCCTTGGGTGTAGCGTTTTGGTATAAAGAAAACAGCTCTCCGATTAAGCTTGCTCGATTACTTCATTTCTTAGCCCATGACAATGATCACCAAATAACTAACTTCTTTCCTAAATAGAGGTTTCGACACAGGTCGGTTACCAGCAGTCTATTGCCGCCTTTAACCCTTTACATCCTAACATCAGTATGCATATTCTCCATACTTTCTCGATACATTTCTTAAGGTTCTGAAAAGGAGAATTTGTTTAACAATCAAGAGCTTCTTAAGTTGTTGATCATTTTCCTTATTCTCATGACCTTAATGCTTTATTCAGGGGCGATCTTGTAAGGAGAAATTAGATGCCAATCACTCTGAAGGGTTAAAGGGTTAAGACCTCTTACTACCATCGAGCAGGCTCTCGTGCTTGGGTTTCGCCCTATGGCCACTTTTTGGACACAGCCGCCCATTTCACCAGCGGTATCCGCTAATGGAAAAGTTAATAGATTAAAAACCCCTGTAACATTTTTAGGGCTACTTAATGCACTACGTTAATTTAACTCACTTATTTCTCATTTCATGGATGTCTCCTCGTATCGTTTTGGCACTTTCTGTAGCTTCCTAATAAAAGAAATTAAATATGAAACCTTTTCACTGAGAAGTGCGCAATCAGAATAACATAAAAAACCCCCATTGTCCTGGCACGCTATTCTGGGGAGATAAAAGGTTTAGATGAACGAAAGGCAGATGATGTGCTGCATCGTGTTTTGTTGTGGTTGAAACAGTTACATGAGACTTTGAGAGTAGGCGCTTAACCAGTTAACAAGAATAATTCTCTCACTTACTTGCATTTCGCTTTTTAGTTCTTCAATGTGTTGATTGTATTCATGAAGTGACGAGCAAATAGCATCCTAAAATGAAAAACAAATTTCAAGTATGTGAACTACATTACCATTGTTTGACCAAGAAAATCGAAGAAAGGGAAAATGTTTTAGCCAAGTGTTATTTTGCGCATTTTAAGTAAAATAGAGAAATATTACCTTGAAATGATCAATGGTAACAAAATCCTGGAAAAATGGAAGGATATCTTCAATTTTCAGAAGTTCACTTTGGTTCAAAAACTCCATTGCCCTACAAAAACAAAACAACAACAATATTGATGTGAGAATGGCAATCACAGATAAAACATCAGTTTTTACGATTCAAACAACTGAAATACTTCATCACATCGCTGAGGTAGTAATATACAGTACTTGATTACGTTCGATGCTCAGTTGAGAACATCTCTATGCTAACAAGAGTAATCGATATTTCTCTTTAGAAGTATAAACATTTAACAAAAAAACATGATGTTTGTTATTTTCCTTCAAGCAGGATTCAAGCATGAACAGAAAAAAAATAGAAAAGTATAGGTGCTTTTCCCCTCGTAAAAATTCAAACGTTGGATCATTGAAGTTTGGTAGAAGATGTTAAAATTCAAGCCATCTAGCAGTACTCAGTTGACAGGTGATGCGCTGTATATTTACTTTTTCACATCTCCTTCTTCTTCCACCACATGTCGCGCAATTCTGAGCCAGAGTTTTTTCCTCAACACTTCGTCGTCCTCCGGGGGCTTCTGGGCTTGAATCTTGGCAAGATCTACATCGACCTTTAAAAAATACAATTAGCATAACGGTGTGAGCCCAAAAACGGTCGTCATACACCAAGTTCGTTCACAAAGTACACAACATCAATTCGTATATTCTCCTTACTCATTTCTAAACAATCCCTATGATGCTTACAAGGAGAAGTTGTTTAACAATCGAGGGCTTCTAAACTTGGTAGTTATTTCCTTTATTCTCGTGACCATTGATGTTTGATTCAGGAGGTAAATATTGCATTTAAGGAGAAATTAGATGCTAGTCACTCATGGGGGCAAAGGTTTTAAGCGTCTTGTATAGAGTTAGAGTAAAATATAGCCGAATTCTAATTACTTTTAAAGACAAATCCACCGCTTCTTCAAAGAGTCCCATGGTACTGTAGATGTGAACACAGGCTTTCTGTTTGTCATGTTCTGAACACAGTCTCAAGGCGTACTTCATGTCATAACAAACTTCTTCTGGATCCTAAAGAGACAGGGATCGTTACACATGGGTTTGGTGAGATCGAAGAAAAACAAAAACAACAACAAACAAGTGAAGAAAAGACGATAGTAATTGTTACAAAATCTCGGCGATAAAAGACTCCTTGGTTTTTCAGGTCATTAATTCATGGAATATAGCTTACATTTACAAGGAAACAGTGAAAATTCTCAAGTCTCATTTGTCTACTAATAAATTTGTTTATCCTTTGATTCATTTCGTTTTCTGCAGATAACCTCGGAAAAAATGGAGTTTCCCCAGGAAGTCGCGTTCCTCACTGTAATTAGTGGTACTAGCTTGTCCTTAGGTTTTGGCATATACGATGCATTTGTTTGAAAAAAAAAGCAATTAAATCTGCATCATGAAACAACGCCTAAGCATCAGCTAAAAAACATATCCTTTCAGCACATTTGGTTGCACAAAGCATAAAAACCAACAAAACATAACCAAAATCAATGAACTAGTTTGCAAAACGAACAGTGTTGGCTCAGAGTACACTGCTATATGAAAGTGTTCAATTAGTATTTCACACAGATGGTGAGGGGTAAAATGCATGTGGAAGAAACTTTATTAATTCGTACGAATGACAAAGACTGCAGCTAATTCTGAGCAGGTGTAAAATGAGCAGAAAAACCGTAAGGAATTTTCTTGCCGAGCCTTTTAGTATCAAACCTGTCCTTGCATTTGCAGGTATCGTAATAATGACTCATCATCTTCTTGTTCAATGTATAACGACAGCAAATAATTGTGAATGGCCTGGTCTCTGTTTCCGAGTCTCTCTATGCAGAACTCCAAGTAGCGGATGGCCTCCTCGGTCTGTGTCAAAATCAACGGGGTGAACAAACATCATAAATCTAGACAGGGTAAGTTTCTAAAGGAGCTGTGGTGCTGCGTCGATAAATAATCTGGTTTTATCAGCTGAGATAATGACGTAAGTTGGCCCCCGTGAAAACTATCTAAAGCTGACGTTAGCCCTTCGTCAGAGCGAATCATTCGCTTTGACGAAAGGCTGACACTCGTAACGCTCCTTGGACTTGGGGTCAGCCGCGGTGAAATCGTGGTTGTGGTGCTTCACCAAGTGTGGTGGGCTTCAATAATGCATTCAATTCATACCTGAGTTGACTTCCCTTGTTGGTGATAGTGAACCAGCGCAGGAATCAGTCGGCGTGGATCCAGCTTCTTCTTTTTCTGTTCAGTCCAGGCATTTACCGTTTGCCGCGGAATGTGCTGCATTAGCACAGGAGAGAACTTGTAATAAAGCTCCGTATCTGTCTAGAGAAACAAAAAAGTATCAAAAATGTCTGTCTGCTTACGAATACATGTAGAACCTTCAGCCTAATCTCGTAAAGTTGCATGTGCAGTAAAATATAACATACGAGTAGCTTAAGGAGTATGTGTGTAATTTTCGTGAAGAAATTCAGTTTTTTTCCGCCATATTTGCGGTCACATCTCATATTCTATAACGGGGAGGTAGCGATTGGAGAAAGAAAACATGTTTTCTTCTAATGAGCTAAGCGCGAGACCAAACATCGATCTGACACCAACTCGCGCTCCCTTCTAAGACGTTTACAATGCATGTTTAGGATAGCATCTTTTTAAACAAAGGATCCAGGTAAAATTCTTGTGGACCACAGAGCAGTTTTCCAACCTGTTTAGTGAGGACATCCAATGCAGCCATAAAGTCATCATGCTGAATATGATGACTGATAACATGCTCAAAATCTACAACAAAAACAAAAAATTTACAATTGAGGAAAACTTTTAATCAACATTTTATTGCTTTCTTGTAAAATTTCCCTATTAATGGGAATCGTTAAATATCGGTTGCAGCCGCCGTAACTTTACAGTTTAAATCTAGAAAGACGTACCTTGCATGAACATGGCAAAAAATATTAAGTTCTCTACATCTCCATGACTAGAGATCAAATCATAGGCTGTCTTCCTGTTTTGATCTAGACATGTCTGAAATAAATCATTGAAATTTATTATAACTCGATTTACAAGTTTTAATGTATCTGTATTTTGATTATTTCCCAGAGTGGCCACTGTAAAGGATACAGTAGAATCAGGATCAGCAGGTCCGCGGTTGAACTCTGGCCTGCCAGAATCATGATATCCTTAAGATGCTCTACTCTCACAGAGCCTTATTACACCCATTGGTACATACATGCATTGACCAATCAGAGGACTACCAGAGAAACCTGATCAAATACTTAGGAGGAGGATAGTCCACAATGAATTATCATTCCATCTAAGAGAAGAATTACCGTTGGATTTCATAGCTTGACGGGGGGATTCGCTTCGGTAGCCACCTAAAGCTTGTCGATCGGTTTCAGTCGGTAAGGAAAAAGGTGAGTTATTTTGATGAAGAGTCTCGTATGTGAGGTTTACCATACAAGCCAATGTTTGTTTTAATCAGCTCAGATGCTCTTTTCACCCACCTTTACTTTGGTTTGAGCAAGGAACTTCCTGAATTCTTCCTGTAAGCCTTCGTACTTTAGTTTAGCGTTTTCTTCCTTTAAACCTCCCAAGTCGTTCAAATACAATTCGATCAGCCACATTATCAGCATAGTCATTTGTGTCTTGTCCTTTAAAACAAAACCAAACACAAAATTAAAAAAAAAAAATTAAATACTGTTTAAAAGACAAAAAAGGAAAAACCTTTCTAATATCCACATCTCTCTCTTCTCGAAATATATTGCGGTTTCAACAGCATACTTTTTGCCGTAAGGGAACGAGTTGAAATTATGTGAGGGGCGAATGGTAAAAGCGGAACCTCCAGTTACACCTTGTACCCTTCATAAAATTATTATAGAGGTGCATCTATACTCTGGTTCCACGTATCATAACAGTTAGTTTCATACTACCGTATCTGTATCTACAGTTCCTTTTCAATTTGTTAGCAAAAAGAGCATGTATCCTCTGTTAGTAGAAGCTTTTTAATTGATCAAAAGCACTGCATCCATTCTGCTACCATACAAAACTCACTTCTCTTGAATTATCTACCAAGACCTGCAATGAACTCCAGGGCTCGAAATTAGCACTCGCAAACTCGCGAAATGCGAGTGGTTTTTCGAAGTTGCGAGTCTAAAAAATATCCTCTAGCAAACATTTGCGAGTACCGGTATTTTTCCAGTAGAATTTCGATTAAAAAATTAACGCTGAAAATGGCTGCATTGAAAAGTTGCTAGTTAGGTTCCTTCTTTTGCTAGTAAAAAAAATCTTACTAGCAAAACTTTGCTAGTAGACAAAAAAGTTAAGTTCGAGCCCTGGAACTCTGTCAGTAATTTGATTTAATTTACCTGGTATTTCATACTATCTAGCTTTTTTAAAAGAAACATCCTGAGTGCCTGGCTCTCCTCAACTTGAATAAACTTTAAGGCAACCTCCTCAAATGATACTTGAGTTTGGGCATAGCATCTGGCAGCATTGGCGTAACTAAATAAGACACAAGGGAAAGTGTAAAAAAATATATAATATGTCCATCAGTCACTCCGACATTTCCCGATTCAAATAAGAAAACAATACCTTTACATTATTCTATCACTACACCACTCAACACATAAGACAGAGCAGGTCGTTGTTAGTGGCACCTCGGCAAGAACGCTTCTTAGCCCGCGGCGAGAGCTCTGCAAGGGGTCTGGCACCAATCATTATCAGTGCCAGACCTCTCGCAAACCTCTCTTTGACTCATATCAAATCTTTAGTTCCGCAAACGTAGAAACGCGCTTGTAGAAATAAACAGTGGATAGTTGATGCAGAGTCTGGAAAATACCATTTTATAGGGTAAAGTCAAGATTTTTCTTGATACGATTTGCATTTCCCTTGTTGAACTGTTACAGCTGAATAACAAGAAGGAGAAGCAAGTTCCTTAAATTAACTGTGTATACCTCTTGCTTTCAAATAGTTCCTCAGCTTGTTTAGTTAACACTTTATCCAAATTTGCTGGATTATCCTGGTGGCGAAAGTAACTAATTACGTTTGTATTGTCTTTATAAGCTACATAAAAAATCTTTCACTTTTAATTTGTTATATAACAAAAATGAATCCAAGGTCAAAATTGTAAGTGGGTAATTTGTAATTTATGAAGGAAAAAAAAAAAAAAAAAAAGGTAACATAACATGTATCAAAAATTAGAGTAACTTCATCAAGTAACATACTTTCACATTAAATACAACACAGGGCGCAGTTTCAAACGTACTCTCCAGTCTGGATACATGACAAGATCACTATCCTGTCAGAATGTCCAATTACAAGTTGTCCCACATTGAACACTGATTTTCACAAATAGCATCGGCACTAAAGACAAAACCATTTTGAACCACCAATACAGTAACCATGTTGAACATTACCCTGCAATACTCCTTGGCCAACTCAAACTCCCCCCTTTCAAGGTACATTTTCCAGACATCCCTACAAAAAAAAGATGAAGGTGTTTAGATTGTTGCATGAAAACTGTATTTACTCTAACATCGGTATGTATAATCTCCTTACTGGTCCCTATAGAATTCCTAAGGTGTTGACGGGGAGAATTAGTCTTAACATTCTTGGGTTTTTTTAATTTGGTGAACATTTCCTTCATTTTTTTTACTTTCATGTGTGATTCAGGGGGTGATATTGTAAGGAGAAATTAGATACTGGTCACTCTTAAGAGTGAAGGGGTTAAAAATACTGCTGCTAAATGAGTGGTCTGCGTTTCATTTTATCCAATAATGGTTAAAAATGGTCACTGGGGAAAGTGATTGTTACCTGCTCTCTCTTGTAACATGATACTGAAAAATTGCTGAATCTGAGAATATCCACAAAGTCTTCTTCACTGTATCAATAAAGAGTCCTCTCATTGCACCATACTAAAAACAATAATCAACAGGCACAGTCACATTGCAGCTGTGTGCATTTCATGAATTTTTGTGCAGGTACAAGGTGCAGTGCTGTCAATAAGTTTGAAAGTAAAGAGGAAATAAGAAATAGTGTGCAGCCAGGTCATCATTTATGGATGCCATGTTGTTTCAACAGATCAAAAGCAAGACTAGGAGCCATTTAGCCTGCAGTGCAGACATCCTATAGGGGCGAGTTGACTTTAAGAAGCTTGCAATCTTTTACTCAACTGGTCATATTTAATTTAGGGTTAGAGTGGATGGTGGGGGGAAGGGGGTTGGCAAAGGTGAGATCTATCCATTGCCCCACCCCCTGATCCCTCTCCTTCTTTTTGACCCTTGCTCACCCCCTGATACAAATTTCTTTCCCTTCCTAGCATTCTGCTTCTGTAAAAATCAGATGGCAACTCTAATTTTCCCCAAGATAACACTGAGCACTCACTTGCCAAAATTAACCCTACTTTGCAGGCTAGCAATTGTTCACTCCAGTTAAAATGTGCATTGCACAAACCAGCAAATTTTGACCACGTAAATCATGCATTCAATTCCACCAAAAATTTGGAAAATTTGGCTTCACTACAAATTTCTTTCATGGTATTTCTGTAATTATATGATTTTTCAACAGAAATGAGGCGAAAGTACTTGCCTGATAATAGCAGACAAGCCAATAGTTGAAGCCAGCTACCAGCTCTTACTGGCAGCTCTAAAAGTCACTTTAAAAACTGTTATTCATTTTGATATATCCTCTCACTTTCACTTTTGGTCCAAATTAAAAATCTAATACCAACCCGAGGTGGAAACTGATCTTCAAACACAACTTGTTCACTGAGAAGTGATACTGCCTGAAACCTAGTGAAAAAGCCAAACAGATTTCACCTGAGCATGACTATAGCATTGACAATTAAATGTGCATCTGTCTTGCTAGTCAGAATGACAAATTGAGCTTCAAACACTAACAAAAGAAAAAAAAAAGAACAAGAAAATACATGAATTGTGCCATTTCATGCAATATTTTATGCACATATCTATCTAAATTTAATTTCAAAGACAGACCATAAACACAAGGAATTGTCGAAAAATGCAACAAGTTGCTCCATGACCAGTTTTTTACCACTGACACTGTCTATACTTGCTTTGACAACCAAAGTTTTAACAGCTTCAGGAGTATTGCCCAAAATATCTAAGGTCAACAGTTTCTGATGAAATTTTCTCTACAACTATCTTCTAATTGAAGGCCACAACCCTTTGAGAGATGTGTGGTTTTTCTGAAGTCAATTGGGTCATGAACAACAGGACAACAAAAAATGCTTCTCCAAGTTACACCTACAAAATTGTTGTCCAAATACAAACTACATACTTGTCTTTATGCAGCATAAGAGCATGGAAACCTGTCAGTCCAATGGATAGAGGAGGTGTTGTTTCCTTTCCTTCCTCAAACCCATATCTTGTGTTGAGTTGAGAAAAATTGTTTTTTAAATTAACAAATGTATACTTTGAATGTTCACAATCACATTAAGTGTAACTATGTGAATTGATTTGTTCTAAAAGGATACTGTAATAATCTTGTTTCTGCTGTGATATTATCCCAAGACTCGGGGGGACCAAAGTCTAGTTTACCAAAGTAAACACCACTTCCTAGAAGATGGAGAGATAAGATAATCAGGGGTTTCAGTAAAAGTTGGTTGCAGGCAGTCGATAGCCATCTGTAAGATCTCATACTGCTATCTGTTTGCCTGAAAGCAGGTCCTCCTGTTTGGGTTTCCTTTACACCACAGCTGCTTATAAGACCATTCACAGCTGTTTAACAAAAAAGTTCTTGACTTTCAGTGCCTAACTCTCTCTTGCCAGCAAGCTGGCCAACAAGAGGACTGGCCAATTAGAAATTTACTGATTAGGTGTGTACATAAGTTGGGGAATCAATTCACTATGTCACTAAAATAATGGAAGTAAGGAGAACAGACCTGTGAGCCACGCAAAAGAACTTGGCAGACCCCTAATCTTGGGGTAAAACAGAGCTAATTCACTAGAATCCAAATGACCTGGCATCTCAAGGAAAGGTGCTAAAAAAATAAAACAATAAAAAAGTGAATGAGGACCAGGGAGAAGAACAGATGATAGAAAATAAAGATGGTAGGACAAAAGAACAAACTAGCCACATAAAAATAAAAGATAACTGACTACTGACTGAATGAACAAAACAAACAAGAGAAAGAAAAGAAATAAGCAAAGCTAAAAAGAAATAAAACCTTGAGGTGAATGGCATTGTAGAAGGATGAAAGGAAGGGATCTTTACAGAAAGGACAGGAAAAGTTTTATTTAAAAGCCTCCCTTCTTCCCTCAAAACAGGAATATTAAAAAAGGTTAAAGGTCATCACAAGTAGTGGAGGGATCATGATTACCAGGGTTGCTCTCATATTCTGCAAACAATGGCTGTAAATCCAGGGAGTCTGTAACTGTTACATCACCAATAAACTGATAAAGGCGGCTGTATGCAAAGGAAAATGGAATATTATGAGGCATCACTAATGAAATCAAAGTGTTACTAAATATAGAACAGATATCAATTTTTTTTAAATATCATTCGCAACTTGCTCAAGTCATTTAATAAAAAATAAACAGCTTCTTAAGTCTTTAAGTTGGTGGAAATACTGTCATGAATTGATGTTTTAGCCTTTTCCTCTATGTGTTTTCCCAGAGAGCTAAGAAATAGCAAGCCAACTGTTTTGAACCCTGGAACTTGCTTGTGTCCATTTTCCAGTAAAAAGTCCACATAAGGGCTAGTGAAAATCTGAAATTCCACCAATTTTAGTTGTCAGGAGCTGAGCACCACTGTTTAAGCCATGGAAAAATTTCAATTATTGTTTCCCTTTCTACTTTAAATTTCCAAGCCCTGAAAATAGAGATACATCGCAAGCCAAGCTTGTAAAAGTCTTGACAAAAAGATCTCGTATTAAGGCTATGTCAGTAGTACCTCAAAGTTGATACCATAACGAAGTATTTCCTGTCAGATTTTGGAGACACAGGAAACTTCTCAAACATGATTCCATAAATCTGCTCTTCTGGACAACCACTTGAATTCACATTGTACAACTGAAACACAACAAGATTGTTTTTGTGTTTTTAAAATATGATTTAAATCTCTCTCTTAATAATTATATAATATGTATGTATATGTTATGGTTCAATTTTATCCTTGGTTCAAATTTTATTTTCCTTTGTTTCAAACTCATAATCATACATTACAATATCCAAAAACCTAAGAAAAGAAAATTTGAACCAAGGATAAAATTGAACCACAACATACATATACAATATATGATTGTATACTATGTAATAAAGAAACGTAAAATGGTTTCCATGTTTACATAGCCTGATGTAAACACGTGAGAGGTTGAGAGAACACGAGATAAGCGTAGGAAACCACAACGCAAAGTGGAGTGGTTTCCAGCTTATCTCGTGTTCTCCCAACCTCCCAAGTGTTTACATTAGGCTATGTAAACACAGAAACCATTTTACATTTCTTTTATAAAATAACTAATGAAAGAGGAACGAAAACCGTGTTTACATACACTCATGTAAAATGGTTTTATGGCCAATCAGAGTGCACATACGATTTGAATTATTTTAGAATGTATAATATACAATGAAATACAGCTTTTTTTCACAGTTTGACTCACTTGCTTCCAAAATTTTTCCAGACCACCTTGAAAGAACTTCTCCTCTGGCTCTACCTCTGTTTCAAATACCAGCCCTGACAAAATTGAAAAGAAAATGTAAAATGTACATGCAACAGACACATAGTGTTTCATTACCAGTGGAGCCAGCAAAGTTTGCCAGTTAACCACTGACAGTGATTTTGTTCATTCAATTTGAAATTACTTTATTAAGCTGAGTGGCTGCCACTTCACTCATGGTAAAAAAAAAAAAATAATAAAAAAAAACTGAGAAAAGAAAACTCCTAGATTCTCTAAATACTCCACTCCTACAATATATGACTCCCAAACTAACAGCACAATTTGCTGAGAGACTACTCTTACTAATTACAAGAATGCCATCAAAAAGAAACCTAGAGTACCTGGCCAAAAAATGGAAATCAGTAATTGATGAAATCAACTAAGACAATAAAAGAACAGAAATGATAAAAAGTCTGGATCAATATCAGTATCTTAGCAACCGCCCACCTACTCCTCCCCTAACCCAATATTAACCCTAGCTTGTTATCAATTGACTGTTGTTGGGCTTGGGGAGGGGTAGGTGGGCAGTTGCCCAGATACTGATCTTGATCCAAAAGTCTAATCTGTGTACAACTCACATAGGATAACCAAACAATGCTCACACACAATCCTACCATAGTCTATTATTTTTTCAATCATAAATACATTTTAAATACACTGCTGAAATTTGCTAGCAAAAACGTTCATCACAAAACAAACCTTTGGTTGTCCCCAGAAGAATTGTCTGTGTAGAACTCTCAGTCAGTTTTGATTTATTCCATGCAATGGCATTGATCAGATGTCCCTAAAGACCAAATAAAAATATCAAGAACTTAAGAAACTGGTCTGAATTACACTATACTTAAAATATAGTGTATTTGTTCAAGCCTGATGGATATCTCTAAGCAATGTTCTACATTTACTTTTAATGTAACTACAAATGATTTTAATTCAAAATTTCACCCACGATGGTGTTAGCCAGGTTGCATCAACTTGTAGAAAGTATTGAGATTTTAGCACTCCCAAGCCAATTTTATGCCACTTCATTTGAGTTTTCAGGCTAAATATTGCCTTCAGATGCAGTTCTTACCAATTAGACCACACCTATGTTCATTCAAAGGTAATCATATAGTGGCGTGAATTGTAGCCTGTCAAAAGGCGTCAGTCAGAAAGGCCATGAAGGACCTGGCTTTAAGTGAAACCACCTGTAAGGAGAGAGGGTAGGGTAGGAGAATCTTCCAGCCCTTCTCGCTTTTCCCCCCTGTTAACAAACTATCTCAGTCGTTGTGGCTCATTTTATCATGGATTTTTTTCTTTGTACAGCTGTGGTAACTGAATTCCCCAAAACGTGGGAAACATTATTACATATTGATACTTAATAGGCATATTTACTACTTTGTAATAGTCAGGCATACAGTACCTTCATTTTTGCTAATGGTTTGGGCTTCTTGGAATTCCTGGCCAAATAGAATGACTCTTGAGACTTCATGCAGACAATAAGATGTCTGGCAGTTGGATCCATGAAGATTCTATGAACAGAGTCATCCATTCGTTTGGTGATATCAACGCCTGCGTAAATATTGATTTATAAAAGTTAATTCTGAGACTACCAGAGCTAAGAAGTACAACATACTTTTCTTTTTTCAGCTACTTGTGAGAATTTAATGTTAGTTGTTTCAACTTCAGTTAATGCTTTAAAATTGTAACTCTGTGCTGATCAATGTTGCATGATTTTTTGGTGGTAAGTAGATCAATTGTAACCAAAGCCAAAGGTTTAGTAACTTTGAGGCAAATAATACAGAACACTGGTACATCATTCTGCAAGTCACTGACAAAACACGATATCTTCCCTTGACCTGGTTTAATTAATGGCTGTTTTATCATTTGATAAACAAGTTTAAATTGGTTATCACCTAAGGTAAATTATCAGAAATAGCTATCTCACAACTCAAAAGAGCAATCAGCCATTTTTCACCATAGAGCACAACCATTTACAACCAGACACATGCAAAATGTTCATTGCTGCAAAACTACGACACTGTTACTCATGAAAAAAAAAAATTTGCAGAAAGTTAATTCCAGGCCATGCAATTTGCTCTCCGTTAAAGAAAAAGAGAAAAAACAAATCACCAACTTTATTCTCATCTTCTGTCATCTTGACAGTCAATGAAAAGTGAATGTACATATGACCTTATGGTATATAAGCCTGAACTTAAATAAGTACATTTCTTCAGTCATGGCACTTACTGTCTATTTCACTGGGGTTTGTCAAATCCAGTCTCATCAACACATTGTTACTCAGTGCTATAGCAACCATATTGTTACACACAACAACATCAACGATATTGCTTGGTGGTCTGAAAACAATGCGTACAAGATATATAAATCAGTCACATAAAAATTACTCTCAGGGAAGGCTATGTTTGAGTTATTACAATAAAATTTATCTAAAACTAGCTGTAGCACACAACTGTTTAGTTGAAATTTAAAACTTTTGCTTGACTTACAGACCATAATGTCTTAGCTCATGTATCATTGAACAAATGTGTGACAAATTTCAAATTTGATGGGCACACATGCCCTTGGTAGTTGGACAGTCTGAATGTGGGTACACACATATGATACAAAAAAACATTTGTTTTAATGAAGCCAAATAATGAAATTCTTTGATAGTGATCCACTTTATAAAATAATACTGTATCTGTGTGGCTGTAGGTAAAAACATGTGGAGTTGACGTCATCTTCTGTAGACAACTTTCAACAACCAGTTTTACTTCTTGTCTGATGAAAACTACTCAGTGGCTTGAGAAGTGACCAAGCTATAGACGACAATTATTTGCAAGCTTGCATATACCTCAATTATTATCCAACTTCATTAAAAGAGTAGAATATTAACAAGCAAATGGAGTACAAATATTCCACAATATTTTAAAGTTAATTGGGTCGTTGCATTTAACAGGTTCCAAGCTAAGTTTGTGTGAGTTGTTCCAAAGGAAATTTGAGGACATTTGTGCAGTTGGATAATAAATAACTCATTAGATAATTTGGTGTATATTATAATTATAAGTACTCTTACTTACTGATTGTATTTGAAACTTTGGGGGGGAAGGGGAGCTGAGGTTTTAAGGGGGCTCTGCTCAGTAGACTGAATATCTAAATCATTGTGCATTAAAGGGGAGAGATTGGGGAAAAATTCGGCCTTCTAAAAGCCTTTTCAATTTTCTGTGAACTACATAGTACACCACAACATTTTGTTTTCATTTGTATGTTTATTCTGTTGTACTTGTTATCTAAGAGATCTGATGTCTTGGCTATTTACCTGAAGTTGATTTTCTGTCGCCGAAAAATGGGAACATCATCTTCACTCTTAACTTCTACGTATCCAGTTGATATCTGTTGTTTAAGCATGGAGATACCAAACATGATGAATACCATTTAAAGTTTATGTCCAAAACGAAATTTATGATAACCTGAATTTCTTATGTTCTATAAAGGACATCAGTGACACACTTTGCTGCACCTTGCACCACATTTCAACATCATCTGTGATATATTACTGAAAAGATGTACGGCAACATGAAATCTATTTGTTGAGCAGACACCTATGGTACACAGTAATTTAATATTATATTAGCTAAATTAATTGGGCGCATTTTGATTGATTCTTACTCATGATCTATTGGAGGACAGACCCCATTTTTATTTCATCTGAAGTCTAATACTGAATAGGTGCAGGGCAACATGGAATCTATCAGTGCTTTGAAAATTTAATAGAGAGCAACTAACTTCAACGCTGTTAACTACCACTGAAGTTCAGATCCGCATGAATCAAAACTTGGTTCGAAATACCCATAAAAGTGTGTTTATCTTACTTCTCCTGACACCTGAAATAAGAAAAAATTGTAAGTTTGCTTACAGGTTCCGTAACGTCTGGTCCTAGAAACGGATTCAAGTTTTCTCCCGCTGAAGCTTGCATGTACTGATCGAGAATGGACGCCATCTTAGGGAAGGTTCCATACTACATCTACCGGGGAGGGGAGATACAGGAACGTTTTGTTTTGTTTTGTTTTTTTTTCCCCTACTTAAAAAAATTTTCTTATGGCTTTGAGTCGTGTTCAGATATCTACTGAGTGATGGCGTTAAATTCCAATAAAAAATTTCAACCTGAATTTGAGTTTTTCTCATTTTATTGTTTTTTTTTCTTCGCCTTTTTCAGTAGTGTAAGGTACAATCATTGATCTCCTACTACCTTAGTTAGGAAAAGTTTGTCACCTCATCCACCCGATCCCGAAACCGAGGCTTTCAATGTAAACAAGATGGCAACCTTTCATGGTTCGGGCTTCGCCAAGGATCTGTTAAGCAGTCTTAGTGCTGAAGTTCTTTATATTATTCTGTCATATCTTCCAGCAAAGTCTTTGTTAAATGTTAGCGAATGCAACCGCCGTTTACGGGATTTATGTCAGAACTGTAACTCGCTTTGGAAGCATCTTTGCAAGGTTCGTGCCTAAATCCTAAAAAAAATTTCATGTCATCTGCATGCATGTTTAGTTCCGTTTTGCGAGACAATAAGTTTTTTTTTTAATTTTGTACGTATATGATAGTAAAAGCATAAGTTTTTGCCTTCAATTTCTTTTAAGAAGGATTGTTTCTTCATGCTGAGGAGGAAACTTGTGTATGTTTATTTCAGGATTACAATCGGCACAAAATAAGCCAGTGGAATATGAAGCACTCACGTGCCTCCTGTAGAGAGTTTTTTTTTTTTTAACTAGTCGTTTCTGGAAGGAATTTTGTCGGATTTTTGCCGAAATTTGTAGCAATTGAACTTCTTGACTGCTCCCTCTCTCAATTTTTGCGAGTGCCTTTGTTTATTTCTCGAGTGGGATCTTTAACTTTGATGTTGTTGTTTTTCCTGGTTAGTGATCTGTTTATTTTAATCAGTTTCACCCAGAGTCTAAGCTTAGGTCTACTGTAGTGAATAGAGTCCTCTGGCTTGACAGAACGATTCGATGAAATAGAACTGAAAAATTATAGCCAAGGGAAACTTATTTATAAAATATGACGCTTTTGATGACTATTTGCGTAATATTTTGAATATGTTAAACTAGTCTCGATCTGACACCATATTGTTCGAGCTTTTTACATGCAATCTTTTTAAGTTGCTTACCATTCGAAAACGTGGAATGCAAGAAAGAAAATCATGATAGTTTTCATATTCGTAAGAGAGGGTGAAAGAAAATACAACAGAGGGTAAATTTGATTAGCAACGTGATTTCATTTCTGTCGTATTGTGTTGTGAAATCAGAAGAAAAATATGTGAATGTGAAGATTTGAAATGACAAGCTAACTACTGGACATATCATGTGGTTTCCCTGAGAATTTACCAATACCCATGTTTACTCCTTGTTGGAGAGAAACTTTGTGAGACAATGTTTTTGGCAGGATACAGGAAAAAGATTAAATTGTTCAGGATTTTGGGGGCTTATTTGGAAAGTCACGTGTGCTTGGCATGACACCTTATTGATTTTGAAACCACTGCTTGTAAAAGGCGTGGGATATCTCTGCTTATGTTTGAAATAAGAATACTTTGGTTTTCTGAGGAATTTTCAGGCTATTACATATTAATTGCATTATTCAGGGTTTATATTTAGAAAATGTAATGGTTTTATTCTCTGAACTGAGTAGGGGGCTGAATCAAATTACGGCTACACTTAACCCTTTACACTCTAAGATCAGAATTCATATTCTTCATACTGTTCTCTATACATATCCAAAGGTTGCTGACAAGGAGAATTTGTTTAACAATCAAATGCCTCTTTAGTGGGTGATCATTTTCTTTATTCACATGACCTTAAAGTTGGATTCAGGGGTGATATTTGCAAGGAGAAATTAGATGCTTACCACTCTTAGGGGTCAAAGGATTCAAATAACATGCTCTTTTAGGGGAGTTTGGGCATGCTCCCCTGTAAAGATTTGAAACTCTCTGACAATCCAGGACACTTGAGTGACAATTTTAGCCAGACACTTATGTTAAAATCAGTTTTAAAATATTTATGTCTTTGATCTCACTTCATAAAACGGTCTGACAACTTGCTGGTGTCTGCTGCCTTCCAGCTCCTGTTGAAAACCATGATTGTTGTTCAGGTTTGGCAGAATTGTTTGATCATGCACCCACCTAGAAGCCTTTGGAAAGTGATTAAAAGTGTCTTGCTCAAAGAACATAACACATTGCTCTTAGTGCAAACCAGATCATTCTGATCACAACTCCAGAGGCCTTGATGTGAGGTTACTGAGTAAATCAATTTATGTAATAAATGTTTCTTTCAGATTGACTTTGATGCTGACTTGACTGTGAAAGGCTCTTTTCCTTCCTTCTTCATCTTGTATCAGCTGCTTTACAAATCCCGCATTATCCTCGAGGACACAGATTATAGCACATACAGCGGTTACTTACCAGATTGGTTGTATTATTGGAGTGCACTAAGTACCAAGCCTCCCCTCCCTGGCTTTTACAGCTTACCAGCTGGAAGGACAAAGAAAACTTGGGGTAGGAATCATGATGTCAGTAATTCTGTGGTATGGGAGGAAGGGAGGGAGGGGGGGGAGGGGAGAGGGTTGAATGTATAATTTACATAATTTGCACAAAGGTTTGCAAGGAAGGCACAGGACAATACAACTGAATAGTTCCCAGTCCTTTGCAATCTCTCAAAGCAACGTAAGACAACCTTGCTGCCTACTACTCTGTACTTTCAAACTTATTGACAGCCCTTTTTGACATCACCTGCTAACCAACTGACAACTCAGAGGTTCAGGAGAGGGGGCTTAAAGTTTATGGTTCATATTGTCAAAGGCTACAAAGTCTAGCCATTTGCACATATCACTTGCTAAGGCAGCTTTTGATTTGTATTCTGTTATTACCCCCTGTTATTACCCCCTTGAAAATGTTTCAACTTTGGTTAATGATGGATTGTCTTTCGATTTTTGGCACACAAATTGCTTTATGAAGATCTACTCATTGATCTGGGAACCAAGCCCTAACTGTCTCAAACTATGGTCTAGTGCTATCCTTTTGGAAGTAAATTTAGTATTTCTTGTAACTGTTATTGTATAATTTGAATTCATAATTTTCCACAAGGTCTTACAGAAGAGGACTTGACCAACTACCAGATCAAATGTAACAAATCTTGTGCAGTAAGAATAGAGCGGTATTATACTTGGACAGATGGGGTAGAAGCAGCACTCTGTAAACACAAGAGTAAACAACGATTCCATGAGGTGGCTCTGAAGCGGTGCATGCGAAGTCAAAAACAAATTCACAAGACCTTTCCAAAGGCCTCATGTTCTCAAAGAAAAAGAGCTTTTAACAAATTCCAGAATGAGCATCGCAGCCAAAGAAACATTCTGTCCAAGCAAAAGGAAGGTGCAAGTGAATACATGAGTCTACAGTCTCCCCACAAGATTGGCCAAGATTATATTGATGGTGAGTTTGTGACTCGCTCTGGAGAGTAAAGAAAGCTCTCTATGGGTGCAAAAAGTGTACATTGTAATTATGTGAGGAATAGTTACTTATAGTTGAAAGGTAATTATCAACTTGAATTTGAGAATGGCACTGATAAACCATCTCAGTAAAATTTGGAAAGCTGAGCTTTGAGTTATATCATTTTTAACCCTCGAACTCCTTAGATAAAATTGTTATTTCCCCTCAAGGCGCTACACATTTCCTTTCCAATTTACTCACTGGTAAGCGTGTAGCAATTTTCTTTAATTTACTTTTGACAAATGTCTCTCTTCAGAGGTTTAGAATCAGGATGCAATGCAAACAAAATTTCTGAAATTCTTTTCTTCCTTTTTTTTCTTTTCGTTATCGCAGGATATCTTCACAAGAGCGGCATCAAACAACTTGAAAGCTATGTTGAATTTGCTAAACGCCTTGAACAAGAAGTTGACGTAGCAGAGCTGTCTAAAGACATTCCAGTGTGTGTTCTTCTCGTTTATGATAAAATGTCCTCCTTAGCGCAGCAAAGGTTCATTTCGGCGGAGGAATTCCTTGATGTTGCGAAGGATTACTTCGAAAGAGTAAAGAGAGTTTGGAATTGGCAGAATGAAAATGGGCCTGAGGCAAGGCAGGCATTCCGGGATTGTTCAGTTGTAAAAACACATTCGTCTTATAGGTGAGTTTTACTTGTCATGTTTTTAAAGTTATTCGAATCACATTTCCCTGACTAATGTGATTGGACCTTAGCCTGTTCCATGTGTGCAGTTGCATGTAGTAAGACTTAGCACGACAGTAGCCGAGGAGTGAAAACAAAAAAGAGGTTGGGTCGGGTCGGGGTGGACCCAGACCTCTCTCGTTTTCGCTCCGCTGCTGCTATCGCGCCGTGTACTATTTCGCTTCGTTTTACTTACTGACCACCAGAATGAATTAAAGAATGATTTCCTGGCATGTTATCGGGCACCAAGGAACAACTGGGCGAAGATATTTCAATTTACAAGCTCGTTAATTCGACAGCGGCCATGTTTGATTTAAAGTTAGAGGGGATAGTTGGGAGTAGGGAAGGAAAGGCGTAATAATGGCTGTTTCTTTCTATTTTTTTCCAGCGCATTTGTTCAAACTGGGAATGAGTCACATTTTAGGAATCTACGACTCAATTTTGAGGGACTAGAAAAGTTACAAACATGGCTTGATGAAAACCAGTGGATTACTAAGCTACTAGATCCAAACTTTGTTACAATTCTCCGTGGAGCTCCGTTGCAGAAATTACCGTCAAACGAACTCAGCACTCAGGCGTTTCATGCGTTGAGAAAGATGGTGAGAATCTTCCTCAAAACCGGACGGAGAATCGACTTCGATAGAATTCTAAGAAGACTGGCCGAATCTGCCAAAATATTTTTGCACACGAACTTGGAATACGTGGAAAACTTAGAGAGGACCCTTTCACGCGAGTAAATTGTGATTAGATTCCAGTTTCCCCTTTTTGGAGTTTTAACAAATTGCGACTGCGGGTATATGGAGAATTGATAATCTGAACTTCTCAACACTAAGAAAAAAAATCTGAGTAATACGTCGCTTCTCCTTAGCGATAATATACTCAGCGAAAACGAGTTTGTGAGAAATTTGCGATATGAAATGAGGCTTCTTCACAATTACAGTACGTAAAGAGTATCTCTTCGCTCTTCGTTCGTTTACCGTCAGAAGCTCTTTGAGTTGATTCCCTTCGATAAGTGTGGTATTGCAAGGCCATGTTCACCCTTTTCCCTTTCGTTCTATTCCATCCTATTTTCAAATCCTTGACCAGTTTTTCTCATCAAATTCCCTTGATTTGACTCGGCGAATTCTGTGATCATGCATTATTTACCTCTACGAAGTAATTCATGGAGAAGCCCGTGAGACCCCTTGCAATGACTTGTCTGTGCGATAAGCCCTGACTATTCCTATTATTTATTGGAATTCGATGTTACTAGATTAAAAATAGTGCTTTGGGATTAAAAAGCGATCGCTGTCAATTCTCTTAACTTTGTAAAACAAAACACGATTTTTTTCCAAGATCTCTTAGTTTGCTATTTACGTGGACGGAGAGTTATTTTTTCCAATTCTAATACAAAATTCTTTTCTCCGTTAGTCCGAGACAACCTAGTGTGCTCTTTTAGTGAGTTTTCTCGAAGTAATTGTGTGTTTAATACACAAAATCAGTGTGAGTACCATTTACTTGCCGTTCTGTTTACAATTAACTGATTAATCCAAAAGTTTGGGTTATTCATATCATTCGGGCACCATTTATTAATAGATTTTCTCAGCGTTAAACAGTTTAAAGCTTTTCCGCTCTGCAGCCCTCGAGCAAAAGCCTTCCACATTAACTAAGCAATAGTAAAGTTAAAGAGAGAAAGTTTCTAAAGAAACTGTGGTTCTGCGTCGGTGGCAAAGAATAAAAGGGTTATTGAGAATTATCAACTGAGTTGCTAGCGTAAATTTGCCACAGTAAAGAATTTGAAAGCTGACGTTTCGAGCGTTAGCCCCTCGTCACAGTGAATGGTAAAGTTACTTAACCAAAGAAAGAGAATTGGATGAAAGACTTCGTTCTCTTGATCAAAGCTTTTTTTCCAAGCGACCCTAGTTTCTAGGGAAAGCCTTCAGCAGACTCCTCACATCCTCTGTCTTTCCACTTAGAAGAGTTGGAGGTTAAAGCGAAGCAAATCATCATTGTTAAAAATGGTGCATCATATAACAGTTATTTAAGGGCAATAAGGGCCGAAATTGGTGTTCATCGTGGTTTGCTTCTTTGATTCTCATCTTTACCTTTTCTTAAGATAAAAAAAAAAAAAAAAACTTTATTTTCAATATTAACCCTTAAACTTGCAGAAAGCCAGAGGAAAATTATGATGAAGAATCAATGCAGCAAACCTTATTGATCTATCGCACATGATCTGTCCTTGATGCAATGTGTAAGTGATAATCTCCAGGAGAAAAGTGTCTAAATAACTTAACAAAAAAACTTAACATTTAAACGAGAGTGATTCTTAAGACATGAGAGCCAATAAGAGAGAAAACATATCCTTTGTTGGAGCTAGAGCGTAAATCGCACCTTGATCATATTGCCACTTGAACACAGCGCAGAACACTGATAAGAACGATTGAAAAAAAGTTTGCGTCACGGTTCCTTGTTTAAGTCGGGCGTTTGTTTGAACCCATCGCGACATCGAAATTTTGGTCATGCCTTTTCTTACGCTTTTTCAAACCTGTGCTCCATGTTGAAACCCATTACGCTATCGACATCCCCTCCAAGACTTCGCCAAAAAGAGGATTCCCAGTGTGTCCTGCTGAGCTATATCCACTATCCAATAACTCTTATGGCATCCTGATGTTTAACTGAATATCTTGACTTTCTGTCTGGTTTTCTGTTCCTCTGCAGAGTTGACTCAAAACTGTTCTGAATTCCGCCATTCGAGTGGCGTACAAAATTGGATTAACTAGAGAGTTAGCTATTGTTAAGGTAGTCAGGACAAACCCAAGTCGAGCCTTAGCATGTACCGATATTTTTATGTAATCTTTAAAATAAGGTGTGCTTTTGATAAAAAAGAAAACTAAGCTCGGCAGCCATGTCAGTAACGACGCCAATGTCATCATAAGCAAGGTTGTTGTAAGCCTTTGCTCTCGGTTAGATCCTCCATCATGACGTGGGCGTGGACCACATCGGACTTTGGTTAAAATGGAGATATATGAAGCACAAATCACAAGGACGAAGAAGATATGAATGGAAAAATAAATGTAGTAATAGTATATCAGTAACTCAAGACTCCATGAGAACAGTTCGTGTAGTACAACTGGAATGGAAGATATCAGCACGGAGATAAACCATATCATGAAGATGACCACTACGTAATGCCAGTTGCTGAGAAGACGGTGTTGTATTGGGCGAAATGTGGCGTGCAGCCGTTCAAGTGAAATAGCTGCAAGATTAATAACTGAGATAAACTGAAATAATGAAATCACTGAGATGACTGAATGATATCTCCACTTATCACATGATATCTTCTTCCCTGCGATATATACCGGTCCAGAGACTCCCCCGACCAACAGATCGACGATCGCTAAGTGGATGATCAAGTACGTGCTCCGGCGCTGTAGCTGGCGCTGCTTCACAAATACAATAATGGTGATGATATTGAGGATGACTACAGCCAGACATTCAATGATGAGCACAAAGAGCCATGGAATACATTCTGATGCAGCTGGTGCTTCTGAACTATCCTTGCTGTTGTTAATGCTGGTATTGCTACGGGTGTTGGTAGCCATGAAGTTTCACTTTGAGAGAAAAACTATGCTTTAAATTGTTTCGTTCTTTTTGTTTGCTCAGTTGATTTATTCTGAGAGTACATTTTTTGCTGCTAAGCAAATAGTATATAATAGCCATCTGATTGTAACCCCTTCCCAAGAAAACTGCCCAAAGAAAATCTGATCTGATGGGGTGCTAAAAATGATATCTAGGCTTTTAGAGGATCTTTCTAAGTTGACTCCAGTCTGATTGAGTTGGTGTCTTCGAATTTCTCTTCTTTCCTTGTATAATAACTTGAAAGCCAACATGCGCGAACGACTGTGAGGCGCTTTGTCAAAAAAAAAAAGAACTATAGAAATATAATTGCTAACGGAGGAAATTTTGCTCTTAATAAATGGAAGGCAGTCACAATGCCATAGGTAAGTTTTTTGGAAAATAGATATAGAAAAACTCAACTGAAGTGAAGTAAAATCTGCAGCTGCAATCAACTGCAAGTTATCTTTGACCCCGATGTCTCGCTATATTTGTAGAAGCGTGGTCGGGTTCGATTTGGATAACAAAAAATCTTATTGACCGTTAGAACGGCCTTCAAAATTTGTACTTTTCAGCAAATTTTAAAGGAATGATCTTATCTAGCAGTGATATTTGCATGAAAACACTAACTTACCTTCCGAAAAATCTTTAATTCTATTTAATGTCGGCGGCCTCAGATTCCAAAAACCTCGTGAAATTAAGTTATTGCAAATAGCAGTGGGGGCTATTTGATGAAATGAAAATAGTTTTAATTCCTATTGCAAGTTAAGTCAACATATGATTTATTAATTATTCACCCGCATATAAACTTCATTGTTATCTTTTGACAACAATTTTTAAAAAACTGCAAATTATTTCTTGAAGGAAATTGAGTTTTAAGTGAACGTCAACAAGAGAGACGCACGTAATATTTAAATACCCATTTTCTTCGAATAGAGACATTGGACTCTATTAAAAGCCTCAATGAAAACAAAAAAAAATCATTTGTAATTAATCAACTTTATTCAATACTCAGAAAGTTGATGATAAATAAGAAAAAAAGTACCTTGTAAGTTTTTCTTTAGGTGACATTTCTTTGGCGACATTGCTCTAAAAACGTGAAAGCTGAACTTTTGCAAATAATTAGGAGTCCATAACAGTCGTGTAAGAAATGTTTGTATCTGAGAAACGAGAGCGACTACAATGAAGAGGAACTCAATTTAACTTGAATAAATTGTGTTTGAACGAAAGATATCTTTACTATACCGTTCGTAGTCTTACACAAATATTATGACCACGTAGGGGTAAAAGTTAATGAAAGGAAGACGAATGTGTGAACCCTAAAGACCAGAAAAACCAGATAAGAGAAACTTTCTAACGGATTATTTTTTTATGATCAGTATGTCTACCGATTTTACATAGCTTGGATTTTGCCAGGTCAATAAACGACCACCACTCCCTATTTTGGACTGAAGAGCCCATTACCACGTAGTTATCTCAAATACAGGGATCCACTTCCATTGAAAAAGCGAAATCACTCAACAAACTGGGTACGAGCAGGGCGGAGAGAGGCCCTGGTACGAGTCAGACGTGATTATATCTCTGAGCTGATAGCGAATGGTTTTTCTCTTATGAAAGATCTGATCTATAGTAACGTCTTTACTACAGTTTGTGCTTGATGGGCAGTACTTGACAAAATGTATAAATTGTCAAATTTTGATCCAATCTCCTGAAAAAAACTTTCATGTTGCCTGGTGTTACAAAATGGTTACACATTCTGGGAAACATTATTTTTGGGGGAAGGGACGGACTTGCAAGTAACCTTTTTAGAGATGAATTACATGAGTTATGTTTATTACGTTGAGTGGATGATCACCAAGAATGGGGAGGCGTTCAAAATACTTTTGCCCCTCATTCTAGCTATCGAGATAACTTTATGATTTGATTTGTTTTGTTTTGTTTTGTTAAAAAGAAATAAAGAAAAAAGGAAAATATATATATATATATATATAAATATAGGAAGTCTTTGTTTCGATTTTTCCGTAACACAGTGCTCGATACGTAGAAGTAGAGTGCGATATATATTGAGATAGAGAAAACACATGATTAATTTTATATATTTTACTGATGTAAAACTAATATAAAAGTAAAAATCTCGAACTGATCTCGTACAGAATAGCAACTCTTTTCCAGGTATCCTCAGCCCCCAAGATCAGAGTATAGTTTGTTAGAATATCGCTTCTATTGTTTATCAGAGTGAAAGCAAGTTTAATGGCCTTTTTAACACCAAAGCTATCAAGACATGTGTTCAAAGAGGAACGAACACATCGATGCGAATTTTTCTTTTTAAGGGTTGTTTTTTCAGGACCTTTGTTATCATTTCAGTGGGCAATGAAATTGGTTTTTTAGGAAATTGTAATGGTTATGATTAATTGGCGACAGGACTTCGTGTTGTCCAATTCTGTCTGTAATCATACTCGTGATTGACATATCGGACTCGAATTAGACTCCACTCAATCCTTTTACCATTATTTTGATAATAGTGTTTTAAATATTAATTAGAATTATTATTAGAATTATTATTATCATTTAACATTAGTACTATCATCATCACTTTCTTTATTACTACCCGTTTCCTTTTGCCAAAATTAAGGAAAATTCCAAACCTAGTAAAATAAAAAGGAAAATGTTGCTTTTAAAGAGGCGGCTTGGTTACCAAAATGCCATTGAAAAATGCAATTTGGAAGCCAGTGGTTCTGCATTAAAACGCGGCTCTGGGGGATAAAATGTAACTATGCTCTCTCCATAAAACCTTTGCTATTTCAGCATCATTGCGCCCCTCTGCTGGCCATCTGTTATCTCCAAGTATTCCAATCCAGCAAAAAACGTTTTTAGGTTGAACCCGTATGATTGTCCATTTGTTAGTTTTAGACGTTTTCGCACGGAAGCTTCTAGATCTTAAAACCACTTTGTGGAATATGTTTTGTTGGGTACAAATTGTCAGTCTTAAAATTTCGTGTCGACATCTAGAGCAATAGAATACTTTGCCAGTGCAAATTGCGTAACTTCCCCTGCAGTGTTTTTAGTGAAAATAATAGAGGAATCAAAAACAGCTGGGATTTTCAATATGACATTTCAGCAAGAGTTCAAATTAAGGCAAGAGGCACGATATTTTGATCAACCTTAATGTATTTCTGTTTTAATTTTTAATCGAGACGCGATGAGAGTTACATCTTTGCGCTCTTCCCTTTGAAATGATAATTTTCTCAATGGGTAATGCCTAATTTGTTGCAGATAAAAATTCTTTGAAGTGAAAAATTAAAGTGCAAGAAATACTAATTCCAACTGAATAAAAAGGGTTGTTCGTGCTTTAAACCAAAAATAAAACAGCTGCATCAATACAGAGCTTTCCGGCTAAAATCGTAATAACGCTTCTAACACTAAAAATTGCTTAATTAGTTTGACGGTGCAGGGAAATGGATGCGCGTCGCTCAGCAAATTGCTTCATGTTGACACAGTCTCCGACTATTAGTATTAAATGAATGCAAGTCGAAATCCTGGAAGGATCGGCTTTACTTTGCTTCGAACTGCGCTCCCCGTTGCTTCAAGGTAGATTGCCGGAAAAAAGGGTTTTGACGTTCTCCATTTAAGGTAGGATCGTGAATTAGATAAAACCAACTTTCTTACCAAATCTTAGAAGCAACATTGGCAATACCTATACAAAAACTAATCTCGGCGCTATCATTTTAGCGTGATGAAAATCTTGCTTTTCACTTCTTACAGGTTTTCCTCTCGAACTGTTGTACGCTTTTTTTATGCAGTGAGCTTAGAAATTTGAAGATCTTCATTCGTGAACAACCGACTCGTGAGTCGAACATTCTTTAATTTCAATTTAATACTACAGGTAGGTCAAATCCAGCTGAAAATAATTCACAAATATAGGCAGAACGTACTTGTAACATACATTATCCTTTATTGCCTATTTCAGAATCACTTCAGATAACTTATTCCAAATCTAAAATGCTCTATCAAACTTCTTGGGTTTCATGGTTCAAAAATTTAAATATATAGTAAGGATCTTATCATTATAATTATAATTATCATTTTCTTTATCATCATTATTATTATTTCTATTATTATCATTACTGGCACTATCATTATAATCATAATTCTCATTATGGCGGTCCTGAATATTTGATGTTTCAAGTCAAATTGACTCTAAAAACCACGCCACCTACATCGGAGAGATTGGAAGAAACCTCACAACAAGGCTGACTGAACACAAACGAGCGACGTAGAGAGGTAAACATCATCGACTTACGAACCAAACTGTTGACTGGGACTCTGCGCAATGCCTAACCTAGCACCAACTTCTTTCAAGGACTGACTCTGGAAAGTTGGATTAGTAACTTAGAGCAGACTTCCCTCAACAGGTGTCAACCACTACCGACACCATACAAACGACTCATTCACGACATTAACATTGCAAACTAACCGAACAGAGCGACCTTACTTTACCGATGTATCGAGACCGACCAATCGCGACCGACCTACGCCACTTAAGTCTTAAAGCCAATTACATCATGGCAAAACTGACTCATCAATTTATACTGACCGTACTTAGAACATTCGACTGACAACAACTATTCACATGTTACCCCCAGGTTCAAAACATTTACTGATGTGATTTTCTTATTCAATTTTCCTTGACAGTTCAAATCGTAATTGACTTGGCAGAACTGGAAAAGAGAGGCGTTAGCTCAAGATGTTTCCCAAAGCCGAGTGCATAACCTGGGTTACTGTCCTTTTTGCAGCTTCGTTTGCCACTGTAACTCTCAATGCCATCACAATTTTTATCTTCATAAAACATCGCAATCTTCGTAACCGTAGTGCCTACCTGATCATAAATCTGGCTGTTGCTGATATGTTAGTGGGAGGTTTTAGTACATTTGATCTATCTTACTTTTATGGACAGATTTGTAGAATTTGGAAGTTTAATTCATATAGATTTTCTGACTTTAGATCAGCTGCTGTCTTTATTTTCCTTGTCTGTTCCTTAACAAATATTACTGTAATTTCTTTGGAACGGTTACACGCAACATACTGGCCATTCAGACATCGCGTTTTAAAGAGGTGGATTTACAAAGCATTGATTGCTGTCACTTGGATTATAGCTGGGGCCATCTCATTGGCTTATATGGCTCTTAGAGAATTAAGGGCATCGTCAAAGTATCTTTATTTATGGAATTCGTTTAATGCCTTCTGCTTGACGGTAATCTGTATCTGTTACGCCTCAATTTATGTCAAAGTTCGTCACGGTGCGCAGGGTCTGCATCATAACGCTGCCACGAGAGAAAGAAAACTGACAGCGACATTGTTCATTGTAACATTTCTTTCTCTTTCGTTGTGGCTTCCTTACTTTGTAACCTGGGTTGTAATGGAAGCCTCTGACTATTTGGTAACGCCACCTTTTCGTTTATTTTACTTTTTCATTTTTTTATTTCACGCGAACTCTCTCATTAACCCCATATTATACCTTATCAAAATATCAGGCTATGGGAGAGCTTTCATTGCCCTATTTAGAATACGTTGTCAACAGCAAAGACGAGGTCACGTTTTTCCTATTAATGACATATGATATGGAAATTATTGAGTTCAATTGAGGCTTAGCAATTCATGAAAAATTATTGAAAAGGCCTGACTTTTGCATCGAAAGGGAAGATGGAGGGAGCATGCCTTTAACTTTAATCGAACTAGATTATTTGCCCATCTTCTAGGTTTCTGGGCAAAATGTGTCTTTACTTGAAGCTGTGAAGCGTTTTATGGTAGAGCTGTTTATATTTCTCAAAGATCTAAGAATTCAGTTCTGCAGGCAGTAATTTCTATAGAACTACGTAAGTTGGTCAAATAGGTTTTACCATAATTGAAGTTTTCACCACAAATTAGAAAACTGTAAGTCATTTGATTTTGACCTTCTGTAACACGCATATGAACTTTTTCATTGGGTATTGATAACAGTTTCAGTGTGATTGCGTTGTAATAACGTGTACGAGATTTTCCTACACGCCAGCTTCTTTATTCTGATATTGTTTGTATAATAATATACTCAATGTCGTTGGAAGATATTGTTTTACTCTGTCACATGTACATTCCAGTGTAAATTAATAAACATATTCTCTGTGGTTAGGAAGTACATCGCACACTTATTATCTCGATCACAATCTAATTTTTCCAGGGAGGCTTCCTTAATTTTAGTATTATTATTTTAGTACTCATCATCATCATCATTATCATTATAATTATCACATGTATAAATATTATAATTTTGTCGCCTTTATTTCATTATTCCAAATAACCGAAAATTGCCAAACAAACAAACTAAAAAAATTTAAGTAAAAACGTCGTTTTGGGGATAAGTGGTTGCGTAATAATACACATTCAAAACTTTCAGCATACTCATTGGGCGAGAACAAGTCAATTAATCCCACACAGGGTAGAAATTTAAAATCGAGTGAAATGTTTGAAATTGATTAACAGGAAATACGCGAGAGCACGACAAAACAAAATAGCGGAAAGGTGAGGGGGGAGTTACATGTTTTAGTTCAGTGTTTAAGGGAGAATGCTAAAACATAACCACCCAACAGGTCTGGAAGACTCGAGCTTTCAAAAGCGGCTATGAAAGTGTGAATCGGAAGCTCCTGAATAAAATATTGGAGGAGTTTTACGCAACAGTTCTTATGAATCTGAAAGACAGGGAAGTTTACGAGTGGGATAGCATTCGCGTAATGGTTGCTGCTAACCGATGGCTAACAGAGAAAGAGTAAAAGCGTTCGATTATTCTTTGTAGATAGTGTTAAAGCTTGAAGCAAGTTCTAGAGGGAAATGCCCGACTACTCCGGCAACAAGGCAAAGGCAGGCGGCCGAGCCAGTAAGCCACGTCACGAAATAAAAACAATTGAAGAAGAAAACAGAGTCATGATTTTACTTGTATATTATCAACTAGTAATCACATAAATTTTCTGGTGCAATTTGGGATAAATCAGCACTCGTAAATCTCTCACAGACTAAAAATTGCACTTGTCCTACAGGCTTGTGCAAATGGTTAACGTCTGAAAATTTTGCTCGTGCTGATCTATTCAAAATTGCTCTCGAAATCATGTGATTACCTGACTATGCAAATGGCATTGAAAAGGTGTAATTTCAATGTTTTTGTTACTGCACTGAAACGCAGCTCTAATGGAAAAATGTAATTAAATTTCCACAGGGTTACTTCTATGTACATGTGCCCATCCCTTTGGAAAGGTGTAATTTCAATGATTTTGTTATTACACTGAAACACAGCTCTAATGGAAAAATGTAATTAAATTTCCTCAGGGTTACTTCTATGTACATGTGCCCATCCCTTTGAAATGACAATTCTCTCAGGGAGTAATGCTAAATTCGCAGCAGACACGTGCAAGAATACTAATCCAAACCGAATGAAAAGTGTTATTATGCTTTAAACCATAAATAAAACACTTGCATCAATACAGATGTTTTTAAAACTCTAATAACGCTCTTAGCACTAGGGACTGCTTGACTAGTTTGCCGGTGTAAATTGATATATGTGTCGTTAAGCAATTTGCCTCATGTGGACAGAGTCACTGTACTATTATTATTTAATGAATGAAAGTCGAAATCCTCGTAGGATTAGCTTTTGCTTTCAAGGTAAATTGCCAAAGGCGTTTTGAATTCCTCCAACTTAGGTAAGATCACAAATTACTAAAACTCAGCAAATCTTAAAATCAACGTTCGCAATTACTTAGAAAAAACTCACTTCAGCGCTTTTCTTTTTGTGTGATTGAAAGTCGCCTTTTATACTATTTAACCATATTTTAACAACCTTTGTATGCTTTTTCTCTGCAGTGGGCTTCGAGATTTTACAAAGAATTCGAATTTGAAGGTCTTCTTCATTCGTTCACGTAAGTTGAACATTCCTGAATGTTCTTATTTTATTACGAGCAGGTCAAATCTTGCGAGTCATATTAGAATCACTTTACAGGTAACCTACCATTTGTGGCCCTACAACTTGTGACCATTTAAATGCTCTATCAAACTAGTTGCGTCACATGATTCCAAATTATAGAGACGAATTACCGATATGGATCATATCAGGATAGTAACCATTTCCTTGTTCTTTATCATTATTATCATTGTTATCATTTATTATCGTTTCTTGTATCAGTGCCTTCACTAATGTAAGATCTAAGCTCTTGCCGATTATTTTTCGTGTAATTCGCATTTATTTATTTCGTTCTCTATTTTTTCAAACCTCCTCGTTAGTGTTTTTTGTTAAGTTATTAGCGTTTTTCCTCTTTAGTTACACCTTCTCGCTCGTTTCACATACCGCACGTTATTTCGCAGTCCTCTTGTATTTAAAGCCAGTTTCTTTTCCGCATAATGGCTTTTCAAGTCAGTTTACCTAAAGTCGCACTTGGCGCAGATCTCTGTTTTAGAAGTCGGTTTGCAGTTACATATTAGACTATTATATTACATATTATCAATTTAAGTATTTTCCGTTTCGCTTCGTTTGTATTCTTTTTTTTTGTAGTTTGTTAACCTAAGTTAACTTAGCTCTTACTTATGTTTTTAGTTTCAACTTACCACAAATGTTCCTCTCTAAAATAAAGTATTTCGAGTTGGAATTAAAAAGTTTTTGCTATTGCAATTGATATCATCATGGTCATTACTGATTTCCATTACTGTAATCATGAAAGTTGTTCTTAATTCAATTTAAATTTATAGTTAAACTACATGAATTGTAAGGTTTTTCTGATGTATCTTTTGCTGCATCTGGGTTCTTAGAACACATAACTGGTGGATGAAGGAGACAAACTCAATTTTGTCTGTAGATAATTTAATAAACAACAAGAGAAAGATAAAATAATTGATTCTCTTCTACCAGGATCAATAAAAAAATTGACTCATTAAAAACGACATAAGATTCTCTTCTACCGTGATTGATTAAGCAGAAGTGGAGAAGGAAAGGAACTACCTTAGTTCAAGATGTTTCCCAAACCAGAGTGCCTAACCTGGCTCACGATATATTTTACACTTTCGTTTACCACAGCAGCCTTTAATGCCATCACAATTGTTGTCTTTATAAAACATCGTAATCTTCGCAACCGTAGTGCCTACCTGATCATAAATCTGGCTGTTGCTGATATGTTAGTGGGAGGTTTTAGTATAATTGATCTATCTTACTCTTATGGACAGATTTGCAATATAAAGTCTGATTCAGGAAGAATTATTTATCTGCGAATAGCAATTGCATTTCTTTTTCTTGTTTGCTCGTTAGCAAATGTTACTGCAATTTCTTTAGAGCACGTGCATGCAACATTTTGGCCATTTAAACATCGCGTTATAAAGAAGCGGGTTTACAACGTAATAATTGCTGCTACTTGGATTACAGCTGGGAGCATGTCATTAGCTTATATAACTCTTACAGAATTTAAGGCGTGGTCGATATATTTTTTCTTTGTGGAATTCGTTTAATACAATCTGTTTGTCGGTGATCTGTATCTCTTACGCCTCAATTTTTGTAAAAGTTCGTTACAGTTCACAGGGTTTACATCACAGCGCTTCCACAAGGGAAAGAAAACTGACTGCCACATTGTTCATTGTAACATTTTTAACTCTCGTTTTGTGGCTTCCTTATATTGTGAACAGGCTTCTCATGGAAGCATCTAACTTCTCTGCAATACCGCCTTTGCACTTACAACTCTTTTTCGCTTTTTCATTTAATACCAATTCTTTCATTAATCCAATATTATACCTTATTAAAATACCAGGATTTAGGAGAGAATTCATTGGCTTATTCAAAATACGTTGTCCACAGAAAAGACAAGTGCAAGTTTTACCATACTAAGGGTACATGTGACATGACACTAAAAGAGATGAACAAGTTGAATTGCTTTGTCAAGTAATTCTTGAGTAAGGCGTTGTCATTGTATCACTTTATCAGATTTTCCTGAAAAAACCAATGAACAGTTTCAAACCCTCAGCTTTAAGACACAGTTTACTTTTAAGTAAGTCCATACCATCCTTATTGTTTTTGATCTTAAGTTACTTTATATTTATACACCTTCAAAAGGATTTTATTCATCATTATCGTTACTATTGTTATTATTATTGTTACTATTTATATTAAACTGATGGGTATCATGAAAACGAAAAAAATTTTCGAATCATGTTCCAGTAGTTAGAAACTTGACATCTATTTGACTAAACTTCAAAGTAAAGCACAAGAAAATATTTTGTATGAGTGGTAGATTGCAATTATCTCGCACCGTGCATAACCATAAGAGACCCAACCTGCCTTTGAAAGTCGGCTTTTGCACCTGTGCCGTGCTTCTTGTCAAATATCACCGAAAACAATTGCTTTTGATAAACTAGAGAACCCAAAGCACATCCTCGCTGCATGACCATGAGCACTCTGCGGCGAGAAGTGATTTTTCTTGCGACGGCTTAATGATGCACCTGCGTCATTACCTCAACAACAGGCGAATTTCTCAGAAACGTCGTGACGCTTTTAGTGGCATCAATTGTCTGGCCATTTTGTGGGAGTAAAAAAAGAAATTTTTTCTATCCCGCAAATTTCTTTATAAAATTTGTTGTCTCAAGGTCCGGACCATTATTTTTCAACCAGCCAAATCAGTGGAAGCCCTTACTTCGTCTTTAAAGTAATCCTAATTCGTGATTCTCTACTCTGGCAAGGATTGTTGAAAAAACTACAAGTTTTGGTTCTTGCGTAACTACCATCAGTTAGAAGTTTCGACTATGCGCATTGGTTAAATGCTGTATCAAGTTGTAATTTATCGCTAGAAAAGAACTTTTTAGGTTCAGGCTGGTGCAAAAACTTTAATTTTCGACATTTTCTTCTGTAGCGTCACTCCCACACGAAAAACGTCTGCAATGTTCTTTCGCCTCTCACCTCCTTCCAATATTGTTAATTACTGGTGCGCCCATGCCACATCGCAAACCAACTCTCAGAGGAACAGGGGAGGCGGTAAGTGTCCTATCAAATGTGTCTGGGAGTCTCCGAAACATGATTAGTTGGGACACTCCTCTTAAACGAAGTTCAGATGTTCGTTCACCTCTCACCCCTTCCAGTATTGTCAATTGTAGATGTGTCCACGCCATCTTGCAAATCAACATTGACTAGAGCAGGGGAGGCAGTAAGTGTCCTAACAAATGTGTCTGGGAGTTTAGGTAGGACTCGACCAGCGTTACCCTTAACAAAGACGTGTCGCAAATACACCACACCGCAGGAGACTGTCAATAAATGACCTTTGGGAAATTCAGATATGTCAAGGCCCCAATTGGAAGACTCCCTAATCATTCTCTTATTTTCTCTTGATCTTTACTTATCTATATAATTAGCTATCTATTTTCGATTTATTTTTAAGAAAAGAGAGTAAAACAAGTTACTTGGAGTTTTGATGATAAAAAAAAATGTCAAGAGAAAATAATAGGACAGAGAGGGAGAGGGAGAGGGGGAGAGAGGCTATTGTTCTAAGCTTTCGGAAAACGTCACTTTCACCAGAGTTATTTGTTATCAATCTCGCGTGCGAAATTTGAATTTGACACACATTACTTTTACAATACGCGTTTGTTTGAAACCACAGCGGCATCGAAATTTTGCTTATGCCTTTTCACACGCTTTGTCAAACCTGTGCTCCATGTTGAAACCCCATCGACATCCCCTCCAAGACTTCGCCAAAAAGAGGTAAGCGGAGAGCGTGCGCAGAAACTTGGTCACATATTTCTGGCGTAGCTAGTATACTACTGGCCAGTCAAAATTGATGAGAGGATTCCCAGTGCGTCCTGCTGAGCTGTATCCACTATCCAATAACTCTTATGGCATCCTGAGGTTTAACTGAATATCTTGACTTTCTGTCTGGTTTTCTGTTCGAGTCGTAGAATGTACCGATATTTTTATGTAATCTTTAAAATAAGGTGTGCTTTTGATAAAAAAGAAAACTAACTCCGGCAGCCAGGTCAGTAAAGACGCCAATGTCATCATAAGCAAGGTTATTGTAAGCCTTTGCTCTCGGTTAGATCCTCCATCATGACGTGGGCGTGGACTACATCGGACTTTGGCTAAAATGGAGATATATGAAGCAAAAATCACAAGGATGAAGAAGATATCTATGGAAAAATAAATGTAGTAATAGTATGTCAGTAACTTAAGACTCCGTGTGAACAGTTGGTGTAGTACAACTGGAATGGAGGATAACACCACGGAAATAAACCACATCACGAAGATGATCACTCCGTAATGCCAGTTGCTGAGAAAACGGCGCTGTATTGGGCGAAAGGTGGCGTGCAGCCGGTCAAGTGAAATAGCTGCGAGATTCATTACTGAGATAAACTGAAACAGTAAAGTCACTGAGATGAGATCGCTAAGTGGATGATCAAGTACGTGCTCCGGCGCTGTAGCTGGCGCTGCTTCACAAATACAATAATGGTGATGATATTGAGGATGACTACAGCCAGACATTCAATGATGAGCACAAAGAGCCATGGAATACATTCTGATGCAGCTGGTGCTTCTGAACTATCCTCGCTGTTGTTAATGCTGGTATTGCTACGGGTGTTGGTAGCCATGAAGTTTCACTCTGAGGGAAAAACTATGCTCTAAATTGTTTCGTTCGTTTTGTTTGCTCAGTTGATTTATTCTGAGAGTACATTTTTTGCTGCTAAGCAAATAGTATGTAATAGCTATCTGAATGTAACCCCTTCCCAAGAAAACTGCCCAAAGAAAATCTGATCTGATGGGGTGCTAAAAATGATATCTGGGCTTTTAGAGGATCTTTCTAAGTTGACTCCAGTCTGATTGAGTTGATGCCTTCGAATTTCTCTTCTTTCCTTGTATAATAACTTGAAAGCCAACATGCACGAACGACTGTGAGGCGCTTTGTAAAAAATACTGAGAACCATAGAAATATAACTGCTAAGGGAGGAAATTTTTCTCTTAATAAATAGAAGGCAGTCACAATACCAAGCTAAGTTTTGTTGGAAAATAGATGTAAAGTGAAGTAAAATCTGCAGCTGCAATCAACTGCAAGTTATCTTTGACCCCGATGTCTCGCTATGTAGAAGCGTGGTCGGGTTCGATTTGGATAACAAAAGATCTTATTAACCGTTAGAGCGGCCTTCAAAATTTGTACTTTCAGCGAATTTTAAAGGAATTATCTTATCTAGTAGTGATATTTGCATGAAAACACTGACTTACCTTCCGAAAAATCTTTAATTCTATTTAATGTCGGTGGCCTCAGATTCCAAAAACCTCGTGAAATTAAGTTATTGCAAATAGCAGTGGGGGCTATTTGATGAAATGAAAATAGAGTTTTAATTCCTATTGCAAGTTAAGTCAACATATGATTTATTGATTATTCACCCGTAAAAACGTGAAAGCTGAACTTTTGCATATAATTAGGAGTCCACAACAGTCGTGTAAGAAATGTTTGGATCTGAGAAACGCGAGTGACTACAATGAAGAGGAACTCAATTTAACTTGAATAAATTGTGTTTGAACAAAAGATATTTTTACTATACCGTTCGTAGTCTTACACAAATATGACCACATAGGGGTAAAAGTTAATGAAAGGAAGACGAATGTGTGAACCCTAAAGACGAGAAAAACCAGACTAGAGAAACTTTCTAACGGATTATTTTTTATAATCAGTATGTCTACCGATTTTACATAGCTTGGATTTTGCCAGGTCAATAAACGACCACCACTCCCTATTTTGAACTGAAGAGCCCATTACCATGTAGTTATCTCAAATACAGGGATCCAGTTCCATTGAAAAAGCGAAATCACTCAACAAACTGGGTACGAGCAGGGCGGAGAGAGGCCCTGGTACGTGTCAGACGTGATTATATCTCTGAGCTGATAGCGAATGGTTTTTCTCTTATGAAAGATCTGATCTATAGTAACGTCTTTACTGCAGTTTGTGCTTGATAGGCAGTACTTGACAAAATGTATAAATTGTCAAATTTTGATCCAATATCCTGAAAAAAACTTTCATGTTGCCTGGTGCTACAAAATGGTTACACATTCTCGGAAACATTATTTTTGGGGGAAGGGACGGACTTGCAAGTAACCTTTTTAGAGATGAATTACATGAGTTATGTTTATTACGTTGAGTGGATGATCACCAAGAATGGGGAGGCGTTCAAACTACTTTTGCCCCTCATTCTAGCTATCGAGATAAATTTATGTTTTGATTTGTTTTGTTTTGTTTTGTTTTGTTAAAAAGAAATAAAGAAAAAAAGAAAAAAAAATGTACATATAAATATAGGAAGTCTGTCTTTCGATTTTTCCGTAACACAGTGCTCGATACGTAGAAGTAGAGTGCGATATATATTGAGATAGAGAAAACACATGATTAATTATATATATTTTACTGATGTAAAACTAATATAAAAGTAAAAATCTCGAACTGATCTCGAACAGAATAGCAACTCTTTTCCAGGTATCCTCAGCCTCCAAGATCAGAGTATAGTTTGTTAGAATATCGCTTCTATTGTTTATCAGAGTGAAAGCAAGTTTAATCGCCTTTTTAACACCAAAGCTATCAGGACATCTGTTCAAAGAGGAACAAACACATCGATGCGAATTTTTCTTTTTAAGGGTTGTTTTTTCAGGACCTTTGTTGTCATTTCAGTGGGCAATGAAATTGGTTTTTTAGGAAATTGTAATGGTTATGATTAATTGGCGACAGGACTTCGTGTTGTCCAATTCTGTCTGTAATCATACTCGTGATTGACATATCGGACTCGAATTAGACTCCACTCAATCCTTTTACCATTATTTTGATAGTAGTGTTTTAAATATTAATTAGAATTATTATTAGAATTATTATTATCATTTAACATTAGTACTATCATCATCACTTTCTTTATTACTACCCGTTTCCTTTTGCCAAAATTAAGGAAAAATTCCAAAACTAGTAAAATAAAAAGGAAATGTTGCTTTTTAAAGAGGCGGCTTGCTTACTAAAATGCCATTGCAAAATGCAATTTGGAAGCCAATGGTTCTGCATTGAAACGCAGCTCTGGAGGATAAAATGTAACTATGCTCTCTCCATAAAACCTTTGCTATTTCAGCATCATTGCGCCCCTCTACTGGCCATCTGTTATCTCCAAGTATTCGAATCCAGTTTTAGGTTGATTCCGTATGATTGTACATTTGTTAGTTTTAGATGTTTTCGCACGGAAGCTTCTAGGTCTGAAAACCACTTTGTGGAATATGTTTTGTTGGGTACAAATTGTCAGTCTTAAAATTTCGTGTCGACATTCTGGAGCAATAGAATACTTTGCCAGTGCAAATTGCTTAACTTCCCCCGCAGTGTTTTTAGTGAAAATAATAGAGGAATCAAAAACAGCTGGCATTTTCAATTTGACATTTCAGCAGGAGTTCAAATTAAGGCAAGAGGCACGATATTTTGATCAAACTTAATGTATTTCTGTTTAAATTTTTAATCGAGACGTGATCAGAGTTACATCTTTGCGCTCTTCCCTTTGAAATGATAATTTTCTCAATGGGTAATGCTTAATTTGTTGCAGATAAAATTCTTTGAAGTGAAAAATTAAAGTGCAAGAAATACTAATTCCAACTGAATAAAAAGGGTTGTTCGTGCTTTAAACCAAAAATAAAACAGCTGCATCAATACAGAGCTTTCCGGCTAAAATCGTAATAACGCTTCTAACACTAAAAATTGCTTAATTAGTTTGACGGTGCAGGGAAATGGATCCGCGTTGCTCAGCAAATTGCTTCATGTTGACACAGTCTCCGACTATTAGTATTAAATGAATGCAAGTCGAAATCCTGGAAGGATCGGCTTTACTTTGCTTCAAACTGCGCTCCCTGTTGCTTTAAGGTAGATTGCCGGAAAAAAGCGTTTTGACGTTATCCATTTAAGGTAGGATCGTGAATTAGATAAAACCAACTTTCTTACCAAATCTTAGAAGCAACGTTGGCAATACCTATACAAAAACTAATCTCGGCGCTATCATTTTGCGTGATGAAAAATCTTGCTTTTCACTTCTTACAAGTTTTCCTCTCGAACCGTTGTATGCTTTTTTTGTGCAGTGAGCTTAGAAATTTGAAGATCTTCATTTGTGAACAACCGACACGTGAGTCGAACATTCTTCAATTTCAATTTATTACTACAAGCCGGTCAAATCCAGCTGAAAATAATTGACAAATATGGGCAGAACTTACTTGTAAGATACATTATCCTTTATTGTCAATTTCAGAATCACTTCAGATAACTTATTCCAAATCTAAAATGCTCTATCAAACTTCTTGGGTTTCATGGGTCAAAAATTTAAATGTATAGTAAGGATCTTATCATTATAATTATCATTATCATTTTCTTTATCATCGTTATTATTATTTATATTATTATCATTACTAGCACTAACATTATAATCATAATTCTCATTATGGCGGTCCTGACTATTTGATGTTTCAAGTCAAATTGACTCTAAAAACCACGCCACCTACATCGGAGAGATTGGAAGAAACCTCACAATAAGGCTGACTGAACACAAGCGAGCGACGTAGAGAGGTGAACATCATCGACTTACGAACCAAACTGTTGACTGGGACTCTGCGCAATTCCTAAACTACAGCACCAACTTCTTTCAAGGACTGACTCTGGAAAGCTGGATTAGTAACTTAGAGCAGAATTCCCTCAACAGGTGTCAACCACTACCGACACCATACAAACGACTCATTCACGACATTAACATCACAAACTAACTGAACAGAGCGACCTTACTTTACCGATGTATCGAGACCGACCTACGCCACTTAAGTCTTAAAGCCAATAACATCATTGCAAAACTGACTCATCAATTTATACTGACCGTACCTAGAACATTCGACTGACAACAACTATTCACATGTTACCCCCGGGTTCAAAACATTTACTGATGTGATTTTCTTATTCAATTTTCCTTGACAGTTCAAATCGTAATTGACTTGGCAGGGCTGGAAAAGAGAGGCGTTAGCTCAAGATGTTTCCCAAAGCCGAGTGCATAACCTGGATTACTGTCCTTTTTGCAGCTTCGTTTGCCACTGTAACACTTAATGCCATCACAATTTTTATCTTCATAAAAAATCGCAATCTTCGTAACCGTAGTGCCTACCTGATCATAAATCTGGCTGTTGCTGATATGTTAGTGGGAGGTGTCAGTACATTTGATCTATCTTACTCTTATGGACAGATTTGTAGAATTTGGAAGTTTAATTCATATAGATTTTCTTACTTTAGCTCAGCTGCTGTCTTTCTTTTCCTTTTCTGTTCCTTAACAAATATAACTGTCATTTCTTTGGAACGGTTACATGCAACATACTGGCCATTCAGACATCGCGTTTTAAAGAGGTGGATTTACAAAGCATTGATTGCTGTTACTTGGATTATAGCTGGGGCCATCTCATTGGCTTATATGGCTCTTAGAGAATTATGGGTATCGTCAAAGTATCTTTATTTATGGAATCTGTTCAATGCCTTCTGCTTGACGATAATCTGTATCTGTTACGCCTCAATTTATGTCAAAGTTCGTCACGGTGCGCAGGGTCTGCATCATAACGCTGCCACGAGAGAAAGAAAACTGACAGCGACATTGTTCATTGTAACATTTCTTTCTCTTTCGTTGTGGCTTCCTTACTTTGTAACCTGGGTTGTCATGGAAGCCTCTGACAATTTTCTAATGCCACCTTTTCGTTTAGTTTACTTTTTCATTTTTTTATTTCACGCTAACTCTCTCATTAACCCCATATTATACCTTATAAAAATATCAGGCTATAGGAGAGCTTTCATTGCCCTATTTAGAATACGTTGTCAACAGCAAAGACGAGGTCACGTTTTTCCTATTAATGACATATGATATGGAAATTATTGAGTTGAATTGAGGCTTAGCAATTCATGAAAAATGATTGAAAAGGCCTGACTTTTGCATCGAAAGGGAAGATGGAGGGAGCATGCTTTTAACTTTAATCGAACTAGATTATTTGCCCATCTTCTAGGTTTCTGGGCAAAATGTGTCTTTACTTGAAGCTGTGAAGCGTTTTATGGTAGAGCTGTTTGTATTTCTCAAAGATCTAAGAATTCAGTTCTGCAGGCAGTAATTTCTACAGAACTACGTAAGTTGGTCAAATAGGTTTTACCATAATTGAAGTTTTCAACACAAATTAGAAAACTGTTAGTCATTTGATTTTGACCTTCTGTAACACGCATATGAACTTTTTCATTGGGTATTGATAACAGTTTCAGTGTGATTACTTTGTAATAACGTGTACGAGATTTTCCTACACGCCAGCTTCTTTATTCTGATATTGTTTGTATAATAATATACTCAATGTCGTTGGAAGATATTGTTTTACTCTGTCACATGTACATTCCAGTGTAAATTAATAAACATATTCTCTGTGGTTAGGAAGTACATCGCACACTCATTATCTCGATCACAATCTAATTTTTTCAGGGAGGCTTCCTTAATTTTAGTATTATTATTTTAGTACTCGTCATCATCATCATTATCATTATAATTATCATATTTATAAATATTATAATTTTGTCGCCTTTATTTCATTATTCCAAATAACCGAAAATTGCCAAACAAACAAACTAAAAAAATCTAAGTAAAAACGTCGTTTTGGGGATAAGTGGTTACGTAATAATACACATTCAAAACTTTCAGCATACTCATTGGGCGAGAACAAGTCAATTAATCCCACACAGGGTAGAAATTTAAAATTGAGTGAAATGCTTGAAATTGATTAACAAGAAATACGCGAGAGCACGACAAAACAAAATAGAGGAAAGGTGAGGGGGAAGTTACATGTTTTAGTTCAGTGTTTAAGGGAGAATGCTAAAACATAACCACCCAACAGGTCTGGAAGACTTGAGCTTTCAAAAGCGGCTATGAAAGTGTGAATCGGAGGCTCCTGAATAAAATATTGGAGGAGTTTTACGCAACAGTTCTTATGAATCTGAAAGACAGGGAAGTTTACGAGTGGGATAGCATTCGCGTAATGGTTGCTGCTAACCGATGGCTAACAGAGAGAGAGTAAAAGCGTTCGATTATTCTTGGTAGATAGTTTTAAAGCTTGAAGCAAGTTCTTGAGGAAAATGCCCGACTACTCCAGCAACAAGGCAAAGGCAGGCGGCCGAGCCAGTAAGCCATGTCACGAAATAAAAACAGTTGAAGAAGAAAACAAAGTCATGATTTTACTTGTATATTATCAACTAGTAATCACATAAATTTTCTGGTGCAATTTGGGATAAATCAGCACTCGTAAATCTCTCACAGACCAAAAATTGTAATTGTCCCACAGGCTTGTGCAAATGGTTAACGTCTGAAAATTTTGCTCATGCTGATCTATTCAAAATTGCTTTCGAAATCATGTGATTACCTGACTATGCAAATGGCATTGGAAAGGTGTAATTTCAATGTTTTTGTTATTGCACTGAAACGCAGCTCTAATGGAAAAATGTAATTAAATTTCCTCAGGGTTACTTCTATGTACATGTGCCCATCCCTTTGAAATGACAATTCTCTCAGTGAGTAATGCTAAATTCGCAGCAGACACTAATTCCTTTGGGGTGGAAAATTATAATGCAAGAGATACTAATCCAAAAGGGTTATTATGCTTTAAACCATAAATAAAACACCTGCATTAATACAGAAGTTTTTAAAACTCTAATAACGCTTTTAGCTCTAGGGACTGCTTGACTAGTTTGCCGGTGTAAATTGATGTATGTGTTGTTAAGCAATTTGCCTCATGTGGACAGAGTCACTGTACTATTATTGCTTAGTGAATGAAAGTCGAAATCCTCGTAGGATTAGCTTTTGCTTTCAAGGTAAGTTGCCAAAAGCGTTTTGATTTCCTCCAACTTAGGTAAGATCACAAATTACTAAAACTCAGCAAATCTTAAAATCAACGTTCGCAATTACCTAAAAAAAAAAAAAAAAAAAAAAACTCACTTCGGCGCTTTTCTTTTTGTGAGATTAAAAGTCGCCTTTTATACTATTTAACCATATTTTCACAACCGTTGTATGCTTTATCTCCGCAGTGGGCTTCGAGATTTTACAAAGAATTTGAAGGTCTTCTTCCTTCGTTCACGTAAGTTGAACATTACGAGCAGGTCAAATCTTGCGTGTCATATTAGAATCACTTTAGGGAATCTACTACTTGTGGCCCTACTACTTGTGGCCATTTAAATGCTTTATCAAACTGGTTGTGTCACATAATTCCAAATTATAAAGACGAATTACCGATATGGATCATAAGAGGATAGTAACCATTTTCTTGTTCTTCATCATTATTCTCATTGTTATCATTTATTACCGTTTCTTGTATCAGTGCTTTCACTGATGTAAGATCTAAGCTCTTGCCGATTATTTTTCGTGTCATTCGTATTTATTTATTTCGTTCTCTATTTTTTTCAAACCTCCTCGTTAGTGTTTTTTGTTAAGTTATTAGCGTTTTTCCTCTTTAGTTACACCTTCTCACTTGTTTCACATACCGCACGTTATTTCGCAGTCCTCTTGTATTTGAAGCCAGTTTCTTTTACGCATAATGGCTTTTCAAGTCAGTTTACCTAAAGTCGCACTTGGTGCAGATCTCTGTTTTAGAAGTCGGTTTTGCAGTTATATATTACACTGTTATATTACATATTATCCGTTTCGCTTCGTTTGAATTTTTTTTTTGTAGCTTGTTTACTTAAGTTAAGTTAGCTCTTATGTTTTTAGTTTCAACTTACCACATCTGTTCCTCTCTGAAATAAAAGTATTTCGAGTTGGAATTAAAACGTTTTTGCTGTTGCAATTGATATCATCCTGGTCATTACTGATTTCCATAATTTTAATCATGAAAGTTGTTCTTAATTCAATTCAAATTTGTAGTTAAACTACATGAATTGTAAGGTTTTCCTGATGTATTTTTTGCTGCATCTGGGTTCTTGGAACACATAACTGGTGGATGAAGGAGACAGACTCATTTTTTTCTGTAGATAATTGAATAAACAACAAGACAACGATAAAATAATTAATTCTCTTCTACCAGGACCAACAAAAAAATCGACTCATAAAAAACGACATAAGATTTTCGTCTGTGTAATTTTCTCATTCAATTTTCCTTCACAGCTAATACCGTGATTGACTAAGCAGAAGTGGAGAAGGAAAGGAACTACCTTAGTTCAAGATGTTTCCTAAACCAGAGTGCTTAACCTGGCTCACGATATATTTTACACTTTCGTTTGCCACAGCAGCCTTCAATGCCATCACAATTGTTGTCTTTATAAAACATCGTAATATTCGCAACCGTGGCGCCTACCTGATCATAAATCTGGCTGTTGCTGATATGTTGGTGGGAGGTTTTAGCACATTTGATCTATCTTACTATTATGGACAGACTTGCAATATTTGGAAGTCTAATTCAGGAAGAATTTCTTATCTGTTAAAATTAGCTATTATATTTCTTTTTCTTGTCTGTTCCTTAGCAAATGTTACTGCAATTTCTTTAGAGCGCGTGCACGCAACATTTTGGCCATTTAAACATCGCGTTTTGAAGAAGCGGGTTTACAACGTAATAATTGTTGTTACTTGGATTACAGCTGGGAGCATGTCATTGGCTTATATAACTCTTATAGAATTTAACGCGCCGTCGGCATTTTTTTATTTATGGAATTCGTTTAATGCGATCTGTTTGTCGGTGATCTGTATCTCTTACGCCTCAATTTTTGTAAAAGTTCATTACAGTTCACAGGGTTTACACAGCAACGCTTCTACAAGGGAAAGAAAACTGACTGCCACATTGTTCATTGTAACATTTCTATCTCTCGTTTTGTGGCTTCCTTATGTTGTGAGCAGGCTTCTCATGGAAGCATCTAACTTCTCTATAATGCCGCCTTTGCGCTTAGACTTCTTTTTGTTTTTTTATTTCACACCAACTCTTTCATTAATCCTATGTTATACCTTATTAAAATACCAGGATTTAGGAGAGCATTTATTGCCCTATTCAAAATACGTTGTCCACAGAATAGACAAGTGCAAGTTTTTCCGTACTAAGGATACATGTGATGTGACACTGAAAGAGATAAACAAGTTAAATTCAGGAAGACTTGCTCCGTCAAGTAATTCTTGAGTAAGACGTTTTCACTGTATCACTTTATCAGACTTTCCTGAATAAACAGTTTCTCAGCTTTAGGACACAGTTTTAGTTTATTTTGAAGTAACTCCATACCATCTTTATCATTTTTAATCGTAATTTACCTTAAATTTTTACACCATCAAAAGGATTTTATTCATCATTATCTTTATTATTGTTATTGTTATTGTTACTACTTATATTAAACTGATGGGTATCATGAAAAAAATATGTGATTTTCAAATCATGTTCCAAAAGAGAGTAAGAAACTTGACATCTATTTGGCTAAACCTCAAAGTAAAGCAATGGAAAAAATTTTGTCTGTGTGGTAGATTGCAGTTATCTCGCACCGTTCATAACCATAGGTGACCCAACCTGCCTTTGAAAGTCGGCTTGTGCACCTGCGCCATGCTTCTTGTCAAATATCACCGAAAACAATTGCTTTTGATAAACTAGAGAACCCAAAGCACATCCTCGCTGCATGACCATGAGCACTCTGCGGCGAGAAGTGATATTTCTTGCGACGACTTAATGATGCACCTGCGTCATTACCTCAACAACAGGCGAATTTCTTAGAAACGTCGTGACGCTTTTAGTGGCATCAATTGTCTGGCGACTTTGTGGGAGTAAAAAAAGAAATTTTTTCTATACCGCAAATTTCTTTATAAATTTTGTTGTCTCAAGGTCCGGACCATTATTTTTCAACCAGCCAAATCAGTGGAAGCCCTTACTTCGTCTTTAAAGTAATCCTAATTCGTGATTCTCTACTCTGGCAAGGATTGTTGAAAAAACTACAAGTTTTGGTTCTTGCGTAACTACCATCAGTTTGAAGTTTCGACTATGCGCATCGGCTAAATGTTGTATCAAGTTGTGATTTATCGCTAGAAAAGAACTTTTCAGGTTCAGGCTGGTGCAAAAACTTTAATTTTCGACATTTTCTTATGTAGCATCACTCCCACACGAAAAACGTTTGCAATGTTCTTTCGCCTCTCACCTCCTTCCAATGTTGTTAATTACCGGTGCGCCCATGCCACATCGCAAACCAACTCTCAGAGGAACAGGGGAGGTGGTAAGTATCCTATCAAATGTGTCTGGGAGTCCTATAAACATGATTAGTTGGGACACTCCTCTTAAACGAAGTTCAGATGTTCGTTCACCTCTCACCCCTTCCAGTGTTGTCAATTGTAGATGTGTTCCTGCCATCTTGCAAATTAACATTGACTGGAGCAGGGGAGGCAGTGAGTGTCCTAACAAATGTGTCTGGGAGTTTAGGTAGGACTCGACCAGCGTTACCCTTAACAAAGACGTGTCGCAAATACACCACGCCGCAGGAGACTGTCCATAAATGACCTTTGTGAAATTCAGATATGTCAAGGCCCCAATTGGAAGACTCCCTAATCATTCTCTTATGTTCTCTTGATCTTTAATTATCTATATATTTAGCTCTCTATTTCCGATTCATTTTTCAGAAAAGAGAGTAAAACAAGTCACTTGGAGTTTTGATGATAAAAAAAAATGTCAAGAGAAAATAATAGGACAGAGAGGGAGAGGGGGAGAGAGGCTATTGTTCTTAGCTTTCGGAAAACGTCACTTTCACCAGAGTTATTTGTTAACAGTCTCTAGTGCGAAATTCGAATTTGATACACATTACTTCAATTCTGATAAATGAGTAAAAAAGAAGTCAAAATTACCAAAAGTTTATTTTTGGCAAAGTGTTCAAGTCAAACCGAAGTAGTTTGGAAACGTAGGAATAAAAACATACTTCTCCACTTTAATTTTACGGTTAAACCTGTCGGATTCTTTATTCTGGATTCTGAATCTATTATTGACGAGTTAATTTCTACAGAGGTAGAATTTCAAAATTTCAGTGATTTTAATCACTAATTTTTTAATCACCGACAACTGAGAACAATAATTATCTCTATTCTGGAAGTAATACAATATTACCAGAGGCAGAAAATTCTAGAGACCCCAAGCTGCTTGGTGTAAATCACTTTTGAGAGGATAATTGATTTTTGTTTTATACCACAAATAAAACATCTGCAAGAGACGTTTTTAACCAGAAAAACCTTTTAAAGCCCTTATAATACTCTCAGCATCAAGAAATGCCCAATTTCCCCGACGGCAGCTATTAACGCACGTTTCGATATCAACTTGATTCATGAATTTGCTATGCAAAGCCCTTAAGAACATTGTCATTCAGGGATTGAAGCCAAGAATTTAGATTGGAGAATCTATTTCATCGCGGTACAGACTGTCTTCTGCTCTTCTTTTCGTAAAGAAACCTGCAGGCTTCTCTTTTGGCTTAATTGGGGTAAGTTTTATAAAAGGCTAGCTCAGTGTCATGACAGAATCTTAGCATCAAAGATGGCAAGTAGAATCTTAGAATGAACGCTTGAATGTCAGATTTCTTTAGCCGTTGACACTTATAGTAGTCCTTAATTCAAGCCTGTCAATTCAGACCATTTCTTATTACTCCGAGGCCTTGACAAATTTTTTATGTTTGCATCAAAATATGAATTTCATTGGGAACACCTTGAACATTCTCGCCAAAAGCTTACAATAAAACGAAAAGCAAAAAATTTTACGATAAAACGCGCGGCCATGGGGTCTTATTCGAACAAACGAGCATGCTAAGCCTGAGCGAGAATATAACTTTTTTCCGTCTTTGTTGTTGTCACGTTTATGTCACTACACCTTTCTGTCATCAACTGAACAAGCTACGTGAAATAAGAAGAAACTCGTGAATATGTAGTTTGGTAGGATTATTAATAAATCGAAACATTAAAGAAGTCAGTAATTCGCAAGACCTTTCAGGCCTTTATACTGAAATTTCAAACGCATTATAGGGGCATTAATACGACCTTTGTACCTTTTATATAATATTCAACCTTTTTCAACCTTTTTCAACCTTTTTCAACAGAGAGACGAGTAATTCATTTTACCAAGAGTGGAAAGGAAAAGGCATCAGTTCTAGATGCTTCCAAGAGCTGATTGCATAATCTGGCTTACTGTGACATTAGCATTGGCAATTGCCACAGTAACTCTCAATTTTATTACAATTAGTATTTTTACAAAGCACCGTAATTTTCGTAACCGTAGCGCTTACTTGCTTATAAATTTGGCCGTTGCAGATATGCTCGTGGGAGGATTCTGCACAGTGAACGAGTTTTATTATTATGGATGGTTTTGTAACATTTGGAGGTCTGACTGGCCCCGCTACGTATCATTTATGCAATTAGCTGTTTTTTATATCTTCCTTGTCAGTTCCTTAACAAATATCACTGTCATTTCCTTAGAGAGGCTACATGCAGCGCTTTGGCCGTTCAAACATCGTGTTTTGAAGTTGTGGATTTACAAAATCATTGTCACTTTTGTTTGGATCTTAGCTGGGTTTATCTCATTTGTCAATGTCGCTCTCATAAATTTTGGAAAATGGTCAGATTATGTTTATTTCTGGAACTCGTATAACGCATTTTGCTTGCTTGTAATTTGGTTTTCGTACGCTCTAATTTTTTTCAAGGTTCATTTAGGATCGCAGGTCTTGCACCATGGAGCTGCTGCTAGAGAGAGAAGACTTACAGTGACTTTGTTTATCGTTACAATTCTGTCTCTAGCCTTGTGGCTTCCTTACATTGTAAACATTTTTGTCAATTATTCCACTGATTACGCTACGTTGTTACCCGGACTTATATATTTTCACCTAGAATCCTCTTTCATTCTTTTTTTTCATACAAACTCCCTTGTTAATCCTATTTTATATCTGATTAGAATACCAGGCTTTAGGAGAGCTGCTATCGCCTTATTTAAATCACGATGTCGACAGCAAAGACAGATTCAAGTTTTTCCTCTCCATGAAGTCTAACATAAATATTGATGATAAAGTTTAATTTGCTCTCACTTATTTTTCAATGATGATTTAAAGATTTAATTTATTGTCCTCTCACAGGAATTATTTTTAATGTTTGATGCTTTAGTTTTCCCGAAGATGACGACATCCATATTAGTTTTCTAATTAGTTGTCAAATTCCCTCGGCTTATTCTAACTGTCCTTTTCATCGCATAGTTGCCAAGATAGAACGACCTTTTAATCATAAATCAAGCTGCTTAAGAATGTGATTTTTACCTATTTTGCCACTGCTAAAGTAGTCTTGTCGTATTGCACTGAGTTGTTATCCATATTAATTATTAACTCGCAGTCCGACTCGAAGTCCAACTCTATATCCTACACGAAGTCCAATCCCAGTTCTGACTTAAATACAAACTAAACATGTGTTACTCCCTTTTCGATAACAGGAACCCGACCTTTGAGGAGCATCTGAGGATGTGATTTTTAATCAGGTGGAAGACAAATTTTTTAAGCTACAGCTAACACCGGTACTGGCGCAGTTAAAATATTTACCTTTCATTTGTGTCTCCCATTTAGGCATAAAAACTCACTTTGTCAGGTCTTTCTCGTTGATATTGGAGAAAAGGCGGCAACACTGAAGGAAGAAGCACACAGAGAGTTCCTGTTATAAGAAGCCAAATTAGGAATTATTCCCACGGGTTTATGCAGAGGTTTACTTTCATCATTTAAAGGGCATGTAAACCCTAAAAAAAAAGTTTTTCTTACACTATGTAAAAAGTGGTGTAGAAAACGGGTTTGAAATTCGTTTTATTCAATTCGACTTGTTTAGGAGAAAATCGGCATTTTCAATTCAATTTCCACTTCCGGTTAAAACAAAAGCGAGAAGTCGGGACGTAAGCGGTGGAACTAAAATATTGCGTAACACGTTCCCTACTAGAACTGGTGTGACAGCTCATGTAAGTAGCAGTCGTTCGGAAGATGTTTTCTCAGAAGAGAGCGACTCGAAGTATATGACAGCGATGGGGATAATCCAGAATCTTTAGAAGAGTCTAATCCACATCCGGGATCCTTAACAATATGTGCCGCTTAGGATTCGCCGAAGCGATCCGCACGTAGAAAGTACAAAACATGTTGACAGCGATGCGACCGTCTCAGAAACTGGTATTTAATTTACGGTGTGCTTTATTTGTACTTGACATGGAAATCCAATAAAGCAAGGGTAAAACCTAAAAGAATGCAACAGAATTTTTTTTGACCTGAGCTTCTGAGGGTGTTTTATGTAAATTATCAAAGGAGCGAGTGTGGAACCAATGCCGACAACTCATGAAAGTGTTTGTTGTACGAAAATCGGGCAATTGTGGCATAAAGTAGACGAGCAATGGCCTGAAACCCAAATAAGTTGTATCACTGAGCATCCAGGTTTTCAGTCAATTTGCCCCGATGTCTGGGTGCTGAAGACGGCTTATTACGCGCACAGGCAGCAGCGAGGCACAGATAATTACATCACAGGCGGCCCAAGCTCCAGCTGTGAGATGATCATCTTGCGCAATAACAGTCATGGCGGAATTATGAGAGTTTGTATGGGCATGTTTACGACCGCCCTAAGGAATAAAGAAAATACGTCAAATTCTCAAAAAAAATACCTCACCTTACTTCCACAGTGTATCATTTGTTATCAGACCGCTTACTTCGATGAAAAGAGCCCATTTTAGCGAGTTGTTCATTTCGAGGTTTTCAACGTACATAAGAAAAGCCGTTGAAAACCTCGAAATGAACAACTCGCTAAAATTCGTCCTTTTCATCAAAGTAAGCGGTCAGATAACAAGCGATACGCTGTAGAAGTAAGGTGAGAATTTGACGTATTATTTTATTCATTGGAGCGGTCGTAAATATTCCCATACAAACTCTTATAATTCCGCCATGATTGTTATTGCGCAAGATGATCATCTCACAGCTGGAGCTTGGGCTGCCTGTGATTACACCGGAAACGAGTAAGCTAAATGTTTTTTGTTTCATCTGTTTTGTTACATTTTGAGATCGATTTCCTTGAGTTGTTTTTGCCATTGATTTAATAATACAGTGCTACAGCTAGTTGTTTTTCGCTTCTTCCCTGGCTGGAAATTTCGCTACATTGCCTACAGATAGCTTCTTCGTTGGTGTTGAGGTTATCTCGGCAAACATTTCGGGGTCGCTGTGCCATCTTGTGCGGTAAACAATATCCGGAACACTTTTCCAGCGGATTTTGGATCGCCTTACACTGGATTAAAACCGCCAAACCTTTGAGAGAAACAAAGGTACACTTTAATGCAGATCTAAGTTATTTATGTCTTACAGCACTGGCAGTTGTGCCCGTTCTTTATGAGATATTTATGTATTGTTTTCCTTCATCTCCGAAGCATTTTCATCGATAAACAAGTTGTAACGTATACATTTCCTTGCGTGGCCTTCATAATTATTCAACCCTGTTTGTGTTTGCTTCGATTTGAAATACTGAAAAGATAGTTTTGCAAGCTGAAATCGGGATCTTTTGAGTTGTAATCAAAATGATGAATATTGTCCTATTGACCTTTGAATGTACTTTCATTGCTGTGAAAACCGTGACAGAAATTCTTCTGCTGTTTCTCTGCAGGGTTTCTCAAAGGAAGCACCAAGTGGGGCTGGTATGGATTTTCTTATAGAACATAAGGGTTGATTATGGGATCCTGTATAGAATTCTTCGTATCGAACCAACAAAATTCCAGATCACATTACACACCGACATCAGCGAATTCTCTTTTGATACGTGTTTCGATTTCAGGCAAAGGTTCAGACAGGTCAATGTCTTTTATGGGCTCAGCGCTGGCTCCCGAACAACTGGCTTCCCCATAATCTTTCATTAGATGAGAAAAAAGATGTTTTTAGAGAGCCAATAAAGCTGTTGTTGTTTAATTAACGAATGGCTTCCATGTAAATCGATTTTTACTTTCTCTGTTGACCTGTCACTTTTGAAGAGCTCAACTTCTCTTTTAGTTCGGTCGGCCACTTCCGAATCCTCGTCGTCTGCCGACAGTATGAGTCGTTTTTATACTTCCGAATAATTTGCTTTTGGTAAGGCCTGAATCGTCGCTACAGCAACAGGAAGAAAAATGACTGCTACAAACAAAAGAATGTTCGAACGGCTCACTTCACTTCACTTCGGCTCACTTTCACTTGAACAAATTTCAATAATACTCGCTTCAACTTTGCGTCATTTGGAAATCTTTGCATTCTATGCCCAGCTTTGTTTGAATAAGTGCAAAACTGGACGACACAACGCTTTACCATTATGAAAAAATTTGAATATATTGAAGCAAACTCTAAGTAAAAAAATCATGACGAGACCGACAAACAACAGCTGCGGAGAAGGCTCCTACGTGTCTCACGCGATTATAAAACGAAACTTTGAAGGTACCACCCGTGGCGTCACAGGAGAGATGCCGTCATTCAAGATGGCGAATGTTTCGAGTTTGGAAGAGCTTTTGTAAAGTGAAAATTGACTTTTGAGGAAAAAAGAATGGTACCCTTGGTGTACTTGATATATTTACTAAAATTATGTGAAAAGAAAAAAACGTTTTTTGGGTTTACATATCCTTTAAACAGAAACCAGACAGTTCGCTATTACGTCAAGTTGAGTTAATAGCCTTGGTTCAGCGAGCATCAGTTTACTATCAATCAGAGAAAAGGTGACATTAGAGACCTTTCATTTACGTTTTTGACCGATTAATGGATATAGTATTTCTTACACAATCATCTTCCAGACAGTTCCTGTCGTCTTTCTTAACTTCTTAAAAATAGTCATCCTTTTCAGTTGCCCGTGTGAGTTGCAACCAAATCACGTTAAATAATTTCACCCTGTGCGATACGAACTCGCTTTCTGTATATTTAAAAACACGAGGAGCCCTTCCTCTTCTCTGTAAGCTCAATTTGTCGTGCATTTATCAAGAAGAAGACAAACCACCCAAAGAAAACAAAGGCAAAGACGTTTCAACAAGGGATCTGCGTCATTCTTGGAAACGAAGGAAGACTTGGATATATTTCGCCATTGGAAGTTGTGGCTTTAGGTAAACTTTTACTTGCGTTCTACCATCGGAGACCAAGAAAGAGAAGTATTTCTCTGCGACCTAAAAAAGGAGGATTACATAAAGAAAATGAAGAAATTGGGATAATAGATATAAAAGGGTAAAAACTGATAATGTGGATATTATCGAGAAATAATATACATTACCTGTTTATTCTGTTAGAACAGGTAGTTATACCTTTCATTTATTTCATTCATTTCATTTTTGTTCTTTTTTTAATTTTTTTTTTATTCTAAAGGGGTATTCTTGCATCAAGGAATAAAGCCACATTAACCAGCTGCCATGAATTTTAACTCGTGGAACGTGTTTTGGCGCTGGTGTTTTGCATCATTAGCGACTTTGATTGTTTTTGGAAATAATTTAACCATCTGGATATTTCTTGAACAGAGACGTCGCAAACGTGCTTCTTTTCTTCTAATCAGCTTGTCTTTTGCTGATTTACTGGTTGGATTGTTTTCAATCCCTCTTTTGATAACAGCATATGAAACATCTTCGGTGGCTATACGCAAGATATTCTTTCTTGTTGACGTTTTCACAGCCTTAGCTTCCATCTACACCCTTGGCGTCATTTCCCTAGAGAGGATGTCTGCCGTCGCTTGGCCTCATCATCACAGAACTTTGAAACTTCGTGCTTACACCTTTGCCGTTGCCACACCGTGGATCATGGCAGCAATATTCGCTGTTCTATTTTTAACACTTGACAATATACTGGGTCTTCTTATTGTTTGTCCTACCGCGCCTCTTTTAGTTATGTGCAGTGCATATCATGTTATCTGGAAGAAACAGAGATCATCGATAGGTAACCAAAATCATTTCGGCTTAAGAGAAGCGAGATTAACAAAGACTTTATTTCTGATAGTAGGAGCTTCTCTTTTCGCCTGGCTTCCATTTCAAATTCTGAATGTATTGACATATTTAGGCGTGACCGCAATTTTTCCTCATTTGCAATTGACTGTCTTGCTCGTTAGGTTATTACAATTTAGCAATTCTCTTGTAAACGTGGTGATCTATCCTTTCCGAATGCCAGAATTTAGGAATACCCTTTGGCGGATATTGCGCTGTTACCGTCGATTCAGCTCTCGGGTCCATCCGCTGGCTGGGTCTGGGTCAGTTATATCCCTTTTACGACTCACAAACTTCATGTTTTCCTCACAGAACCCCAATCAGGATAGCCCAGTTTGATTCCTTTTTTTAAATCTCTAGTCTTCGATTAACATCGCAACATGCATAAACATAAAAAATAAATTACAGCACGTTTGGGGTTCTGTTTGCTTTTCAGCTGAGACTGTCAGAGTAGGATTGGAGTAAGGCTTAGATTTATAGTGTAGGGTTGATAAAGTTTCCTATTGTTTATAATTAGAAAAGGAAGCACATCTAAATTCTTCTTGTTACGCAAATACTGCATACAGGAATTCTAAGTGATCAATGTCTTCAGAACTGCCGGGGAAAATGTTTATTGAAGAGCAAAGTCTGATTTGATAATATTCTAATTTTTAATGAATTTTAAACATACAATGAAAATTAAAAATACCCTTATCCCATAAGTATTCATCTCCATGCACTCGATTTGGAAAAGAACAAAAAAGATAAGATTGGGTATATAAAAGCTCTTTGATAAATTTGAAAACAAATATTTGGATAGACATAAGCATTTGGATATATCAAGCATTTGCGCGAAACCGACAATCATTCAATAAAAATGAGAGATAACATGATGATTCATATTTGGAAGAAACTACATATAAACGTAATTTTTCATTCATTATCTAGCTTGAGTCGTAGATTAAGTTAAAAGGGATGTTACTAAAACCAAGAACGGGGCACTGTTGGAGGGGTATCGACATTTCCTTAAACAACGCATTACTGTATTTTACTACCAAATTTGATTACCCCTCAATTTCTTTTCTCATTTAAATTTAAGGACTCAACATAATTTTCATAACAGATTCTTATAAATACCCTCGAAATACTTTGATTAGAAAATTGTACTTCGGCAGCGCCTATATGCTATATAACAGAGAAAAACAAAGCGTTCTAAAATACAACAAACCACAAATGGCAACCTTGGGTTCTCTATTCAATCGTATTTAGTAAGACTTAGAGTGAAAGTTACCTTTGACTGTGTATTTACTCTGTTTCCGCCTGTTCATCCGCCATGTTGGATATTTATGAGAATTGTCATGTCTCAGACTCCCGTTCCCCGTTCCTCGCTCCCTATTCCTGATTTCAGTAACATCCGGTTAAAACCGCACAGGAGTACACAATCTTTTTTATTGTGATCAAGGGATGCACCAGGAGACTTAAAGTTACAATTGTAACACAAATCATGCAATTCTGTCGAGTGGTTACCGTCTGTTGTACTTGGAAAAATTTGAATACTCTCCATGTTACTCTACGTTCCCGCGACTTTCAACTCTTCTCAGCATTATTTACCTCACCACTTTTCTATTTCCTATAAATGAGAATTTACAAGAATAGCCTTTAGGAATAGTTAATGGTAATATTTCGTATTATATCATTTCATATTCCCGACCATTGGTAAATGGCTTGATTTCCTGTTGCCCGCGACAGAACTTTCCGTGGTCAGTGGAGTAACACTATCTTGCAGGGAAGCTCCGGCACGATACGCCTGTGCGCGTTCAGAGAAGATTATCATACACTGATCCATCAGTGGTGGACCAGCATTGAAGAGTTGATTTTAAAGGTACTATTATCAAGGTACTACTGATTGGAAGTTACATGTAATGCAATTCGCTTTAGATAACAGCATTTGTAGCGAAAATTACTTATCTGCTTATGCTCATTCGGCAGTCATGACGCGGACATTAGCGAAATATTTTAAGCGACGCTGTTCCTGGGAGAATCATACACAGAACCTAAGTTGTTTTACGATTTTGACATATAGATATTCATACTCTTCAGGTTGGAGAATATGTAAGGAAATACTGGAAGACCTCGTATAATTTTTGGGTTCGTAACATTCTATAGGTAATGGTAGCTTGACAAGAGATTATAAGCTGTTTAGATCGGTCGTTCCTATTCCAGTATTGATATGCCGGTTTCTGGCTTTATTCCTTCTAAAACCAAACCGTGAATAGAAACTTCAAGGAAGTAACGTACCCTTTTTAATTTCGAAAGATATCGAAGATCAGTAGCTTGAAAAAATAAACTGAATCGATTGTCAAACATTGGCGGATTATGTAAGGCGCATTAACAGGTCAAACGTGAGTTCAATTTAAATTTCGAAACCTACCTTTTTATTTACAACAACTTTTGAAACCAGTTTATTTTATGGCTATAATTTGTGCAATAGTCCGCGCTTTCCATCGGTTTACTAGTGCAATAAACCACACGGGATGTTGGGAGAACGTGAGAACAGTTTGTAAATTGAAGGTAACACGATCGTGGTAACACGATCGTGGTAACACGATCGTGAACAAACTTTTAGAACAAACTTTTAGGTTGAACAAACTTTTAGGTTGAAAAGGTCATAGACAGGCCTACACAGACTCCACTGTGTGGTTTTACGTTTGCGACGCAAAAGCCTTTAATTAAAGTTTCGCTCTGACGAGTATGTCTTTGAGCGATTTACCTCTTTTGTATGATATAATCGGAGGCGTTTTGTAAATTGTTTTCAGCAGTGGCTGGTTTTGGATGAGGTTCCATTCTTGCATCAATGTTTGTTTTACATTTTTAACCCCTGGGTGGTATGCTGTCATAAAAGGCAATATTTTGCCTTTAGTTTTTTTGGTTTATTTTTTAAGTGTCGACTGCCTTGCGGCAAACGAAACCTCAGATAACGTTTTTTCAATTAGGCTTTTTGGGTAACCACGTGCTTCAAGTTGTTGAAGTCCTAAATGTAATAACTGCCCTAAATGTAATAAAGTCCTAAATGTAATAACATTTAGTCCTAAATGTAATAAGCCTCTTATGCAATAGTTTATCTCCTGCAGTGCATTGTTGTTATGGCGGACATCCACATTGATATGTTAGTGACCGCTGTTGCTAAAAAAAACCGCTGACCAGTATACATGTCACATTATGGGCCTGCTGATATCAATCAGCGTCTTTTTACTTGCTAGACATAAGAAATATCAGCAGTCGAAGTATGGTCCTTATAGCGGTTTATTGATCGAGTTGAAGAAAATCATTTCCAGCCCAAAGTGGGCTAGTGCTTGGCTGGAAGCTCAATAGGATGGAATCGATTGGTACGTAACCATTAAGATTTTTTGGAAAAGAAATTGACTACAATTGATGATGAACTAGCATGCTATTGTTGATGTTATCGTTCGTGTTAAAGTCTTTAGAAGTGATACACCATTTTAGAGCAGTTTGAATGATTTCGCTGTGTCACATGTTAATCCAAAAGAAAATTATTATTACCAGTAGCGTTATTGAAATTTTGCACATCAATGTTATTCAGTGTCAATTGATTCTAATGAAGCATTTGAGTTCATTTTTAAGAATGACTATCCTGATTTATTCAATTTTGAACCTGGGGTATTGCATTTCCAGCCCTCTATGGCTTTACTCCACCTCAGTAATCAGTTCATGTACCATATGACTATAAGTGGAAACTGTTGAGCTTTCTTTTTACATTCATCTATTTATCTATTCATTTTCTCCCCTCACGGCGGGAAGAAGAGGTGAAGACAAAAAATGAAATATAAACTTGAGATCAACTTTAAGATGTATGTTTTCCTAATATTTCGGTTCGGGAACTGATGAACCCGTCATAAGGGGCTAAAGGAAAAAAATGAATGGTTCATTAGACCGCCAACTGACCATCATGTGTTGAATGGTGTAGCTCAATGGTTCAATTTGACTCTTGCGTGGAAAAAGGCAACATGTCGAGACCTGTGATCGTGAAATGGGATAACATATCATTGGTCAGTCGATATCTTGCTCTGCAAGTCACATTATCATATAGCTAGCAGCGCACGCGGGCAAGATGAAGTGAATCCTGTGTTCTGATTGGCTACCTGAGCGGGCATGATGGGCCCACCCTCGCCCGTTCGGGATCCCCCGTATTGATCCCACGCAAGAAAACTTACAAAGTTCGTAACTTTTGGACAATATTTTCATATATGCATAGAAAAAATAAACGACCCTCTTGGGTTTATTGTGCTGCAAACACAGTTGGCTTTCACTATCAGCTCTCGAAATAAACAGGCCATTCTTGATTCTTATCAAAGCGAAATCTTTTGCTATATAATGAATCCTTTAATGATTAAGCCAAGAGAATATAAACTCTCTTGTATGGTCAAGATTACTGGATATTAGCCTCGTTCTTTTTCTACTTTTCTACTACCGTGACTTCGTCTCAGTCCATAAAAACGCAAAAGAAAAAAGAACTCGGCCAATATATAGCCATTTTGAGCTCACGTTCGGTCAATAACGCATATGAATATATCTTATGCAAACCCGTACAAATCTGGCAAGGGAAGACAGTACAAAAAATGCCCTACTGAGCCCAGAATTTGTCTAACGTATAAGTCGGTGAACTTCTTTTTCCTTGTAATTTGGTTCATCAAGTGTTAACTTCAGCACTGAGGACAGAAGTATTTCGTCAAAATCTGTTACAGTTAAGAGTCTGAGCCAATGATATAGAGAGAGCTATTAGTCAACGTTCTCGTTGCTTTTGCGTCCGTCAATTTGATGCCAAAAGCACATCAGTATTAGAATAAGGTTTTGTAGCCAATGCTTCTCAACCTACGTCTTTAACAAATAAAAAGCCGCTGATTAATATCAGTGAGCCCGCAATATTCCATAAATATTGGTCAGAGGATTCTTTGGTGCAACAGCTGTCACTTTAACATCTCAATGTTAGTGCAGTTAAACGATTGCATAGGAGGCTTATTACATTTAGGACCGAACGTTATTACATTTAGGGCTTTATTACATTTAGGACCAAATGTTATTACATTTAGGACCAAATGTTATTACATTTAGGACTTTATTACATTTAGGAAAGTTATTACATTTAGGACTTCAACACAAGTCGTGTTTTGAAGTTACACATGGCCTCCTGGAAATTTCTTTCCGAGGAGTTTGTTCTTAGAAGTCTGATAGCTTCTCCTTTAATAAAGCCTTTCTTAACACCTGGCGGGTGGCAAGATGAATAGTGTGTATATTGAAAGGTCTCGGTCGGTTTGTTGTGAGTTTTGACGTCGAGGATAGCTTCGTTTTGGAATCTTTCACCTTTGTAGACAACCGTGTCTAAGAATGTGATTTCAGTCTCTGAGATTTCAGCCGTGAACTTTATAGTTGGATGGAACGTGTTAGCTTGTTCTATGAATAGATCAATGTCTTGTTTACGAACATCCCACAGGGAGAAAACGTCGTCAATGTAACGCTTCCATACTCTCGGCTTGATACTGCTTTGGTGAAGCAGTTTTGTTTCAATTTCTGCCATAAAGAGATTGGCGAAAGCAACCGCCATTCGTGTTCCCATGGCAGTTCCAAAACATTGGAGATGAATGAACTGGAACGAATTTTCTTTCAGTATAAGCCCGAGCATTTGTTTTAAGTAGTGGGACGGAATGGGAGGGCTGTTATTGTGGTATTTCGTATGCTTGGCATACTATTGTGATACCCTCTTCTTGTGGGATGTTTGTGTACAAGCTTGTTACATCCATTGATACTAAAATAGTATCATTTGACACTTGCGTTTTCTCTATAAAGTTGATGAAATCAGTCGTATCTTTGAGATACGATTTTTGCTTTTGAGCAATAGGCTGTAATAAATGATCCACAAAGGATGATATTCTTTCAGCTAGTCCTTCGCAGCCCGATATAATCGGTCTACCCACTGGCAAAGATTTGTGGATTTTTGTTAAAGTGTAGAAAATCGGTATTCTGGGCGGATTGGGAGTCTGTGAAAGCCACTTTTTTGTCATATCGTCTATATTTTTGCCATTGTGCAGTTGAACAATAAGCTCATTAACTTTTTTCAATGTGTCAGTGACCATGGGGTTTTCAAGAGGTCGGTAGTGGTCTCTGTTGTCGAGCTGAAACTGGGCCTCTTGAATTTTGACCCTCTTGTTGAGAATCACTGTTGTGGTGCCTTTGTCAGCACGTTTAAGGTTGATGGCAGTATTGTTTTGCAGTTCTTTGACTGCTTTGTGTTCGTTGTATGACAGGTTGTGTTTTGGCTTTGTTATTTCTATTTCAGCAAGGCTTAACTTGATATTTTCGAAGTAGCGTTCAAGGGCAATAGAAGGTTGTACTGGTGGTATCCAGTTTGATTTGATGTGGAAAGGATGTGGTTCCTTGTCATTCCCGTGGAATATGTATCTAAGTCTCATTCGCCTAGCGAATTGTTCGAAGTCACGCAACAATTGTTGCCTGATCTTATTTTCATTTGTCACGGGTGTTTCAATAAATTTAAGCCCTTTTGCTAACACGCTGACTTGGTGATTAGTTAATGTATTGTCTGAAAGGTTTTTAAGATATTTTTCATTTTTCTCCCTTTCTGTAGTCACTCGCTTGTGTAGTGTATTTTTTCTACGCTTTTTGCGTTTATTATTCTTGGATAGCCTTTTTGCTGCAGTGGGTTTGGCGACTGATTTTTCAGAGATGACACTGTTGTATTTTTCAACATGTTTATTATCACTCTGAAAGCGTGTACATATAAGATCCTTCAGCTCTGAAAGCTGATTTTCTATTTTGTCTATCCTGTCGACATCAGTATTTACAGTGTTCCTCAAGGGCGAACGTGATCTTTCACGTGTATTTACATTGTATTGTGATCGAGACTTGGCAATATTAGCCTTTTCAAGTTTGTTCTTGTGACTAACAAGTCTACGCTGATGGAAGCGCACTAGGGCGCTAACGTATTGTTCTTCGGCGTGACTTTTAATAGCGCTTATTTCCTGTAGAAAGGTTTCGTCAGGCGTGACGTTTGCCTTCGCCTTGTATTGAAGCGACTTAGGGCAAGTCTTTTGTTGTAAGTGTCTCTCCAGTTTTTAAAATGGAGGTTTCAGTTTTTTGCTTCTTGAACTGGATAGCACTGATGGTGTCTTCATGTTTCCTCTTCCTTGGCTGTCGCGTGGATCGGCTATTCCTCGGAAGGTTTTCTTTTTGACGGCTTTCTTTTTTAAGGCGTAGACCTTCGTTGCTGCGTTGTTTGGCTAATTCAGCTTTATGCCTTGGCTCGAGTTGTGATGCTGGAGGGCTATCCTCTGGGTCCGATTCTAGGTTCGGATCAGTGTACGTTAATTCCATCTCCTCGTCCAGATTTGGAGATTTAAGAGTTTGTTGGAGCTTTTTTCAATGAAGTCTATCATGAGTGTTGAGCAAAGCGCCTTCACTAAGTAATGAAAACTAAAACTAACCTTATAAATGTCTCTTGATTCGTGTACTTGTGTCTATGCGGTATATATATATATATGAAACAAGAGATTATAAACTGTAGATAATCTCTTGTATGAAAGTGATCCACAGTAACTTCGCAATTTCAACTTTCGCTTACATAATCTTAAGCGTATTTCTTTCTTTCTTTCGTGATAAAGGATCACACAATAGAAGAAAAGGTTTCTGAATTTTCCTTAGACTACGAGCAGTTTCCCCTTCTAGGCGAAGTCCGTCGTGCAAGTCAAAAAAAAATTAAAAAAATTAAAAAAAAAATTGATTTCAGCGTGCCGCGGGGAGCTCTGGGAGCGACTTCTTTTTTACTTGCGCGACGGGCTTCGTAGAAAGGAGGGACTATTCATGGCAAAAAGTTTCTTGTCATCATTTGACCATATCCGACACAACAAAAGAATAAAATTCGAACATCGAGGTAGCCCAAAGGTCACCCTCTTTTCTTCTGATTTGAAATTAAACTCGCTTTGCAAACTCGTTCTCTTTTGAAATCCAAGTGAATGATTCGTACTCCACAAACAAACAAACAAACAATCAAGCAAAAAAAGAAAAAAAAACAAGGACAACAACAATAACAACAAAAAAAAAACACCAAAGCAAGACTGAATAAAACGTGGTTTATTGGTTTCTTTAGAAACAGAAATGATGTCATCACGACAAGAAAACGAAAAATTACTTTGTTACTTGTCACATGGAAAAAGATGGTTAAATCATTTGGTATATTTTTGTAATTTTTTTTATTTTTCTACAAAAAGGGTAATCGTGTTGCATCGTGGGAGGAAAAAACAGTTTGCTATGGATTTGAACTCGTGGAACACGTTCTGGCTCCTGTGTTTTGGATTGTTGGCGATACTGATCGTCGTTGGAAATACGCTAACCATCTGGATATTTCTGAAGCAGAAACAACGCAAACGAACTTCTTTTCTTCTAATCAGCCTGTCTGTTGCTGATTTACTTGTGGGATTGTTGACCATCCCTCTTTTAATAGCAGGATATGAAGCATCTTCGGTAACTGAGCGCATGGTATTCCGCCGTGTTGACGTTTTCACAGCGTTAGCTTCCATCTACACCCTTGGCGTCATTTCCCTGGAGAGGATGTTTGCCGTCGCTTGGCCTTATCGTCATAGAACTTTGAAACTTCGTGCTTACATCTGTGCCATTGCCACACCGTGGATCATGGCAACCATAATCACTGTTTTAGTTTTCACTCTTATCAACGTATGGGGCTTTCTTATTTTTTGTCCTGCCGCGCCTCTTATAGTTATGTGTCTCGCATATTATGTTATCTGGAAGAAACAAAGATCATCGATGGGTAACCAGAATCAGTCAAGAGAGGCTAGGTTAGCAAAGACTTTATTTTTGATAACGGGAGCTTCTATTTTGACTTGGCTTCCATTTCAAATTCTTAATATAGTGCTACACTTTGGCGTTACAGAAAATTTTTTGTACTCGACATTGACAATCCTACTCGTTAGGGTCTTACAATTTAGCAATTCTCTCGTGAACGTGATAATTTATCCGTTTAGAATCCCAGGATTTAGGAAAACTCTTTGGCGGATGCTCCGCTGTCATCAAAGGTTCAACGATCGGGCCCTAACGCCAGCCGGGTCAAGGTCTGTTGTGTTACCAGCGAACTCTAATCAGGAAATTGCACTGTAAATCAATCAGTGTCTTTAATTTTAGATAAACTTATCCTCTCTAAGTATGGGAGTGGGATTTATGTAAGGCTTAGTGCTGGGATAGGTTAGAAATTGAGAAGAGGCACATAGTCTCTTTTCGTAGAGTCAAGCATCTCATCAGGGGCTTTAACATGTTAAAATGTGTCTGAAGAGAGAAACGTCAGACCTTGTCTGGGAACTTCCCTTTCGCTTCTATTCTTCTACAAAGTCTTAGTTTGAGCTCGTCAATCGCGCAAAAATTATGGTGTTATGAGTAATTGTTGTAAATATAAGCTTCTAGAAATCTCCAGACTGATTGGTCATGCTGACTTGCATACGATAGAACTTTCCAAAATATTTCATCAAGTCACGCAGTTATTAAGTAATACTACTAAAGTAGCTCTTTTGTACGCCCTGGAAGGTTCCAGAACACTTTGTGAAAATATATAGACTCACATATGTAGTAGTAGGAGTAGTTGTTGTTGTCGCAGCGACGACTGTTTTAAAAGCTATACCGAGAGAGAGTTACCGCGGAAGATTGCTCTGGGATATAGATTGTGGTGGGCTTTATGAAGTTTATCAACGATAAGTATTGTACTGCTTTTGGGAGTCGCTCCTTGTTAAGAACATTACTCGCTGTGTAATAAAGTAGTTGAGTTTGTGGGATTGTTGTCTTTTTTTTGGCGGTCAGATTATACCGTGACAATAGGTTTACTCCGCAATCAAGTTCTTCGGGGAAGGCCTTAGTGCAGGCAAATTTTTGGCAAACGAGTGCTTAGTATTACTTAATGAAAGAGACCCTTAAAATAACGGGAAAATTCTTGTTGCAACCTGTTTCAACGCTTTGTAGGAGATTCTTTCGAAATGGCCCGGCGAACTCTGCATGAAAACGAGACAACTGCATGAAACACCACAAAAACGTCGAAGATCTAATTCTGCGTTATCATTTATATCATAAGCACATGTTTAGTGTAAGTGTTACTAGAATAGTAGCGTAATGTTGGTCGAATAAAATGACTTTTAACCTTCCTACCATGTCCAAAATGCTTTGTGATACTAGGTACAATATGACGGCTGGTCGTTAATTCTCGGAGGATGGTGGATATCGATGCCTGAACGTAACGACAGCGCAAAAAACTTTTATAGTGTCTTGGTTCTTCGGTTCAAATAAGCTGATCATGCATTGTTATAGATGTCTGCTATATACACGCGATATACAGGCAATTTTACGAATGAACTCATTTTATGCATCTGCACGATTACCATATTTATCGACTTCCTGAATTTGATGTCAGCAACGTTACCTCTAGATTTGACATGATGGTTTTTGTTAGGTTTTTGCTATCACCATAAAAGCACTCTTAAACTTAAAACTATAAAGAAACACTGTCGATAATTCAGCCGAGAATTAACAAAGTTTCTTTTTGAACTTCATTGCCGAAAAAGAGAGCTTGAAATCAAAAGTGGTGGAATTGAGTCTCCGCAACACGATGCTGCAGGCAAAAATAATTACCTTAGACAAATTTGTGGTGTATTAAAAGGACTTTATTTTCTGTACAGGATTTCCTAACCGAGCAGTGTTCGATAGTATCTATGAATGTTTAAACCGTGGAAGTGAAGGAGATAACGTTATCTACTAGCATTCACAATCAGATGATTTAACGGAAAATAAGAGAGCTGGTAAAGATTCCCCTAACTTCCCATGGTAGCTAACATCAAAGTAGGAGTTTTGAAAAACTCACTGTAGGCTGAGGCAAGAGTTCAGGGAAGAGCATTGAAGCAATTTATTAAATAAAGGCAGACTTCTCTAAGCTGAAAAAAAAAAGCTAAAAAAAAAAAAAAAGGCTCAAAGAAGCGTGCAGTTTGTTCACACTAAGGAATATTTTGATCCAGTCTTTTGGTGAATTGTACGTACCGCGTACAGATTTACCTAACGCCTTTGCTGACAATCCTTTGCACGAATCGCACCGACATTGTAGCCATAACTGACATAAGTTCAGCATTCTTTAACCGAGACGAAAGATCTCTCCCATTTGAACAACTTTAAGGAATATCTTCATCGGTTCGAAATGAAGGACCGCTTGCAATGTTTTTTTCTCGAAGACGCCATCTGCGGCCCTCGATGCCTCGTTTCCATGCTATTCGAACCAGATTACCTCGGTTAGCTACTATTCTAGAATAAGGCTAACAATGATAAAAACAATTATCTTCCCCAAGCATTCATATTCGTATTCAAAACAAAAGTTACATCCCAAACGAGGAGAGGTGGCGTGAGCGTGCATCTGTACTCTCATAAAGCACGCTACAGTAAGCCAATCAGAATCTTTCTTAGAGTGGTTCAAATAATTTAATCGGTTGAACGAGACTGAAGCTGTCAAATTGTCATGCCATTAAAGTACACAAATTGAAATAGAATGCCGAATGTCGAATGCCGAATGCAAACACCTTGTACAATTCTGAGCGTTATCTCTGGGAAGTTATTAAGAACCTGAACACTCGTATAGGAAAGTTACTTGAGATAAAGTGGGCTTTGACAATACTTTATTCATCGATTCGATTTAACTTTAAATTATTCTGGCAATTGATGACGTACACCATTACTTTCAGTGTTTCTATAGCTTCAGCTTAGATTCAGGGAGGAGTGACAAAAAGAGAGCTTTAGATATAGGATGCCATATTGTGACAATTCTGTCTAAAATTTTAGCCTTGAAGGATATCAGTTATAACACTTCTTTGTAGAACTCATTTGAAACGTTTTGCTTGTTATTGATCTTTGCTAAGACATCGTCACAGCGAAGTAAATTTTCATTCTACGCTTACATGCACTGATGAAGGAGATTAAAACGCAGTCTCTCTTAGAGCGGTCTTGTGCATTTCGGCTTAAAAAAATCGATGTCTTCTAAACCTCACCCACGAATCCGTCCTTGTCTAAATATAGTCTAAACCACCTTGATTTTTCGAAATATTGCAAAGTAATTTTCTTCCGAGCGAAAATCGCTTAAGCACTCAAAGGCCCATTTTCAACGGCGCCGACATTAAGTAGGTGTCTCATAAATTAATTAGACTACGACCGATTCATGGGTAAAGTTTGAAAGAGATCGATCTTTTGATCCGAAATGCACCGGACCGCTTGTAGAGAGACTGTCTCTAAATTTCTTGGCTAAGGTTACTATCGACAAAGCAGGGTGCCTTACCGCAAAATCGTCTTACGCGTGTTACTTTAAAATAATTAAAGTATGGAAAATAATAACCATAAAGTAAAGATTCTGGCATTGAGGAAAAAAAGGTTTTAAAAAGTGTTTCAATAAGTTGGCACGTGCATGCCCTTAAACACAAAACTTCAGGTGTCCGCTTAATTGAATTGTCAGCCTCCGCGTTATCGCGGACGTCCAAACTGTATATCTTTTGGAGGATAATAGGCGAACAAAAGTGAGCGGCGTTTTTTTTTATTCCTTTGGTTCCTAAGAAAATCTGTTTTGAAGTTGGACAAAAGAAAATATATCGATTGTCCTTCTTGTTCTTTGAGAATTATAAGCAGAAGAAAAAGTAGGCAAAGAAAGCTAAGGAAGAAGAAAAACGGTAGTGTGAACGAGCTTTGTCTTTGTGTACCTAAGGCGACGTTTATCTTTATTTCACCCTTTCCATGAAGGCTTGTAGTTCTCAACTGAAACTGTGTGGAGCCGTATTCTTGGACCTATCTAAGGCCTTCGATACGGTCGACCACACAATCATGCTACGAAAGTTGTCATCTTTTGGGGTGACTTCTGACACGGCTAAATGGTTTGAGTCATATCTTAATGGACGAATGCAATGTACATCTTGCGGTTCGGAATTGTCTGATTTGTTATCTGTTACGCACGGCGTGCCTCAGGGCAGCATTTTGGGCCCTTTGTTATTTCTTATTTATATAAATGATTTGCCCACTTTCATCATGCATTCGGAGGTAGCCCTATATGCTGATGACGCAGTGTTTTATTGCTATGACTCAAAACCCAGCTGGTCTGGAGTGCGCCCTAAATGCCGAATTGTTGTTGTTATTTTGGATTAGGACCTCTCTGTAGATCACCTACGGGTGAGAGAGCTTCTTGTTTAAATATCAAATATCAACAAATCAAAAACTGAAATAAAAGAAACGCACCAGTACCGAAAGCGTTCAAATATGAAAATACAAAGATAAGATTTACTTAAGCAACGTAGACTTGAAGGAAGTCTAATAATGTATTGCTCAACATCATCCGCAGCAGGCCGAAACGACTAATTAGTAAAAGAAAAATGTGTAATACATTAGCGCCGATATCTGATATGCAGATCCAAGTAAAGTGGAAAAACAAAGTATTGGAACTTTTCTGCTGACCAGTTCTGAACTATGATTGTAATGATGATATGTAAACGTGATAACAAGAATGATAAATATAATAATAATATCGACAACTATAATAATAATCATGATTATAATAATAAAGATAGTAAGGATAATAAGACAAGCAATGAAATTGGAAACAAAAAAGACAAAGAAACATGTTTGATGTGTGAGCTCTTTACAATATTTCCAACACTAGTAATTAATCATGCATTCCATCCGAATATATTGTTAGCATCCTTTGTTTATCTTCAGAGGCATGGATTTTTTTGTATCTGAAGGAGATTTAGAAAACATCCAATGATTACAGAAATAAAGAAAATACGTGAAAAATACTGAAAAGGAAACAAATCAAAATGGTATAGACAGCGGTTTATAAAGACCTCATGTGATCGATCTGGAAACACATGCAAAACTGCAATCTGTCTTTCCCTTCCGTAATATGGAAATTTTATGACAGGCGTCGCTAGGGCGAAGCAATGCATATTTCTATTCCCTGAAACTCTAAAGACGTAAAACGTGATAAATAAATGCTGTTGACGCAATGTGATTTTAACGCTTCACTCCAACTGTATATGTTCATTTAACCTTTTTTATCAAGCCGAAATACACTGGATAAAATGATATTGCAATTCTGATTCAATGATAGAGGCACTCCGACCCTTTTCCTAATTTACAGTCCGTTGGGTCGTGTAGATGTCGATCAAGTCGCGTAAATAAAGTAGAAGGCAAAAACTGAATGAAGATATATGACGATATATGACAAGAGAACATCAACTGTTGATATTCTCTTGGACGATATAACTAAAAATATAACAAGTAAATAAATGGATTAACGAATAGAAAGAATTTGTTATACCACAAACGCTTGGAGCGAGTAACGGACTTTTCTATTTTCCCTTTCTATTTTGTTAACTTTTTTAGAAATTTATTCGGTTTTCCTTCTCTATTTCTCTGGTTCTTTATTAAATTTTTTTATTCGTTATTTTGCTAGACAAGATGTCAGACCTGAAGCTACCAAATCGAAGCTTAGCTGCTGTTATAACTGAGGCAGGCATCTGCCTTACACTGAACATCACAAGCATCATTGGAAACAGTCTGGTTTGTATAGCAGCATACAGAAACCCAAAGTTACGATCGACCACCAACCTGTACATCATTGCTTTAGCAGTCAGCGATTTGCTGTGCGCAACAATTGAAATGCCTTTAGCTTCTTCAACGCTTGTTATTGGAAGATGGGACTTTGGCGACGTCGTATGCGAAATTCAAGGCTTTGTTGATGTTTTCACCACATACGCGACCCCAGCAACCCTTGGTTTGACAGCAATCAACCGCTATGTGAAAATTGTGAAGACGGCGAAACATAAGAAATATTTTTCGCCCCTCAGATCCAAAATTTGGTTGTTTTGCGTTTGGACTTTTCTTGTGCTTTACCTTTTGACTAGTCGAGCGACAAATTTTCTCAGTTTTGAATTCGTACCTGGCTTTGACGTGTGCACCCTTGGTTTCGCAAATCAGAGGGTTCGAGTCGTTCATTTTTGCATAACAATTGGATTGTTTTTCGTTGTACCGCTATGCAGTGGTATATTCAGCTACTACAAGGTATTATCCACTACCCATCAACATCAAGTGAACACAGCTCCATCGCTCGGTGACAGGACTAATTGTGGAAGAAGAAGTTCATTGAAGGAGATACACGCTACTCGAGTCTTGTTGTACGTGGCCGCTGGATTTTTGTGTTGCTGGATACCAATGTGGGCATTTATCCTTTGGAAGCGTTTCTCTCCAGAAACCTGTCCTAGAAGAGCAGCAATTCTCGTCCCGTTTTTCCTTTTTCTGAGCGCTACAATAAATCCTTTTATTCACGCTTTCACAAATTGTGGGTTCCAAACCGAATTTCGCAAACTTCTGTGCTGTGGTCACACATCAAACGAAGTTGTCGCGGCTAATGTCAACGAAGCGATCGGAGAGGTGGAGGACGAAGCGAATGTGTAATACTTAAACAGACGGCAAGACCATTGATTTTTCATTTGTATTGTAAATAAGCTTCAGTTTGAGTTCAATTCTTTTTTTCCCTTTTTCCTAAGGATAACCACCTTTTCGCCATAGTTTTATCGTAAATCGATTAAGATAATGTTGACTCGGGGGAAGTGAAAGTTTTCGTTCAAATTACCACGAAACATGTTATAAAATGTACCGAAAAACTCTTCTCCTTGCGTGAAACCTATTGTTTAATCGTCTAATGGTCTCGACATAATCGAAAATTAGCCATAAATGGCTAGGAAATAACTCATTGAAGTCTTTTCAGTTATTTTCATGAATGTACAATCTGTTTTCATACTTGTTAGCGTATTAATAAAACAAATTACGACATCTGAAAATATATCTCCTCAAAGCAGAGAAGTCGCGGTTAATGGAGATGGAAATTGTTTTTACCGAGCTATTCTCTGTCATCCAAATATTGATGTTAAGGATACACGTTGGAAGGACATATTTAAAATGATGACATATCATGACGCTCAGGGAATAATCGAAATACCTCTAACTTCTTGAACATTAACGCTGATCGTTGGAAAACTTTAGTTTTCGACGCGCGTGTGCCTAAATGATAAAGGAAAAAATAAAAAGCAATATAGTGCCCTAATGTGTGGGATGACAGCGATCCTTGAGAGGTAAAATAAAAATACAAATATAGCGAGATAATGTGACGCTTACAGCTGACATGTTCGATCAAGGCAATAAATTTTAAATTTAGAAAGACTCATTGTAACTAGCTTTCCTCGTCATCTGTCACTTTCCAGAACGAGCCGTCAGAAGTTACTTTGAACTGATAATTAGTCAGAACAATTTTCCTTTTGACCGGCTGTTCAAAGGTAATAAATAGTTGGCTTCGTGATGCAAACGCCTTGCTAGACTATAAGCGATATCGCCGTAGCTTTTAAGCGAAACTGAGGATCTATTTAGGAAAGTTCTTGAAAGTGAGGTACGTTGAGACAATTATTTATTTACCAAGCTCCTTCGTTGGTATTACAACAAACAAAAACATCAGCTTTAGAAACTTTTTACGGTGGCCAATATACGTTACCAATTCAAAATTTTAGTTTTCGATACGTTTGTATGAGCAAAAGGAAACTTGAAAGTATATGCCCTTAGGTAGGATAATAACTATGCTGATTGAAGCAATCGATTCCAAGTCTCGTGTAAAGTGCAAAAATGACAAATGCTACGTTCCTAAATATAAGCTATGTCTACACTGATATGCAAAATCAAACGATTGCTATGTCACTGTTATTCATTGAAGCTTACGCCACCTTAGCCGAATGCTGTTCTCTTGCTCGTTTCTCTTTTGTTTGATATACCTTTGAAAGTACGCATTTTGGGTCAAAGAAAATTTCAATTACGTTGAAAAAAAAATGTGCAGGTAAGACTTACGTATCTTACGAACAACAAAATCACCATGCGTAGACACCCTGCCTTTGCGTCACAAAAATTATCTAAATAATTCTTATAAAGACCTTCGAAAAATTTTGACTCGAAAATTGTATTTTAGCAGCGCCTAAATACTATATAACAGAGAAAACAAAGCGATCTAAAATACAACAGACCACAAAGAGCAACCTTGGGTTTTTCTATTCAATCGTATTTAATACGACTTAAAGTGAAACTTGCCTTTGACAGCATATTTACTCCGCCTATTCATCCGTCATATTGGATATTTACGAGAATTACTCTAAACTCCCGTTCCCCGTTCTCTGTTCCTCGTTCCTCATCTTCCATTTCCTGTTCTTGGTTTTAAAAAAAAACATCCAGTTAAAAGCGCACGTTAAGAGTACAAAGTATTTTTTATTTTCTTATTATTATTATTTTTATCGGGATCAAGGGATACACCAGGAGACTACGAGTTACAATCGTAACCAAAATTATGCAATTCCGTCGAGCGGTTACCGTTTGTAGTGCATGGAAAAATTTGAAAAGTTCTCTCCCTGTTACTCTACATTCCAGCGTCTTTCAACTTCTTCCTGTTTTATAATTTATCGTATTACTTTGCTTTTTCCAATAAATGAAGATTTACTTGAATAGCCTTTAGGAAAAGTTTATGGTAATTTTTCTTTTTATATTATTTCGTATTCCCGACCACTGGTAAATGGCTTGATTTCCGGTTGCCCGCGACAGAACTTTTCGTGGTCAGTGGAGTAACACTGTAGGGAAGCTCTGACACGACACACTTGTGTGCGTTCAGGGAAGATTATCATACACTGATCCATTAGTGTAGGACCAGCATTGAAGAGCTGATTTAAAGGTACTATTATCAAGTTGCTACTGATTGGAAGTTACATGCAATACAATCCCTTTTAGATAACAGCAGGGAAAATTACTTATCTGCTTATGCTCAATCGGCTGTCACGCCAAGAGGCGGAAGTTAGCGAAATATTTTAACTTATGCACGGGACCTAAGTTGTTTTACGATTTTGACATGTAGATATTCATAATCTTCAGGTTTGACAATATGTAGGGAAATACTGGAAGAGTTCGTTTGATTTTTGGGTACGTAACGTTCTTCAGTGATGGTTGCTTGACGAGAGATCATAAGTTGTCTAGATCGGTCGTTCCTATTCCAGTATTGATATGCCGGTTTACTTTATTCCCTCTAAAACCAAACTGACAATAAGAACTTCAAGGAAGAGACGTCTCTTTTTTAATGTCGAAAGAAGTCGAAAAAACAGTAGCTTGACAAAAAAACTGAATCGATCGTCAAACATTCGCTGGTTGTGTAAGGTACATTAACGGTTTAAAATGAACCTTCAAACTTTAATCTGTGCAATAGTCCGCGGTTTTTATCGGTTTACCAGTGTAATAACCCACTCGGGATGTTGGAAGAAAGAAAAAGAAAACTTTGTAAATTGCTAGCCAGAAGCGGATGATGGATCAGTTTGATATCAGATACTTTAGCTAACAGTTTCCTTGAGCTCTTTTCAATGATTTAAAGCGTGTTCACTTAGTAATGAAAACTAAAAGTTACCTTATAAATGTCTCTTGATTCGTGTGCTTGTGTTTATATGGTATATATATATATATATATATATATATATATATATATACACATACATTACATACGATCATCGGACAGATTTCATCGGATATATTTATATATATATATATATATGTGTATATATACGTAAAATGCTGTTGGAGAGTGCTCAACACAAGGTAGACTAAATCAGTTCTAAATGACTAAAAAACATTTGATTCCCTTAACCATCTTTGACCATTTAATTTCGTCAGATTCAATTCCGACACACTCGTCAAACAATAAAATTCAAATATTGAGGCAGCCCCAGAGGTCACCCTCTTTTCTTCTGATTTGAAATCAAACTGAACAAAACATGGTTTATTGATATCTTAAGAAACCTATGACGATATCATTTCAACAAGGAAATGAAATATTGCTGTTTTACTTGTCTCGTAGAAAAATTTATCGTTAAATCATTTGGTATATTCTTATTTTGCTACAAAAAGGGTATTCTTGTTGCATCGTGGGAGGAAAAAAACAGTTTGCTGAAATGGATTTGAGCTCATGGAACATGTTCTGGCTCCTGTGTTTTGGATTGTTGGCGATACTGATCGTCTTTGGAAATACTCTAACCATCTGGATATTCCTGAAGCAGAAACAACGCAAACGAACTTCTTTTCTTCTAATCAGCTTGTCTGTTGCTGATTTACTTGTGGGATTGTTGACCATCCCTCTTTTTACAGCAGTATATGAAGCATCTTCGGTAACTGTAAGCATGGTATTCCGCCGTGTTGACGTTTTCACAGCGTTAGCTTCCATCTACACTCTTGGCGTCATTTCCGTGGAGAGAATGTTTGCCGTCGCTTGGCCCTATCGTCACAGAACTTTGAAACTGCGTGCTTACATCTGTGCTATTGCCACACCGTGGATCATGGCAACAATAATCACTGTTTTACTTTTTACTCTTAACAGTGTAAGGGGCCTTCTTATATTTTGTCCTGCCGCGCCTCTTATAGTTATGTGTCTTGCATATTATGCTATTTGGAAGAAACAGAGATCACCGATGGGTAACCAGAATCAGTCAAGAGAGGCGAGGTTAGCAAAGACTTTATTTTTGATAACAGGAGCTTCTATTTTGACTTGGCTTCCATTTCAAATTCTTAATATAGTGTTATACTTTGGCGTTATAGGAAATTTTTCGTACTCGACATTTACATTCCTATTCGTTAGGGTCTTACAATTTAGCAATTCTCTCGTGAACGTGATAATTTATCCGTTTAGAATCCCAGGATTTAGGCAAACTCTTTGGCGGATACTCCGCTGTCATCAAAGGTTCGACGATCGGGCGCCAACGCCAGCTAGGTCAGAGTCTGTTGTGTCCCTGAGAAGACTAAAGAGTTCCAAATGTTCACCAGGGAACCCTAATCAGGAAATTGCACTGTAAATCCATCATTGTCTCGATTGTTAGGTAAACTTATCTGCTTTTAGTATGGGGGCGGGATTTATGTGAGGTTTAGTGCTGGGATAGGTTATAAATTGAAGAGGGGCTTAGTCTCTTTTCTTAGAGTCTAGCATCTCATCGGGGGCTTTAACATGTTAAAATGTATCTGAGAAGAGAAACATCAGGTCTTGCCTGGGAACGTCCCCTTCGCTTCCACTCGCGCAAAAATTACATAGGTTTACTCCTCCATCAAGTTCTTCGGGGAAGGCCTCAGTGCGGGCAAATTTTTGGCGAACGAGTACTCATTGCTTCTCTGTGAAAGGGGACCCTGAATAACGGGAAAACTCTTGTTGCAACCTGTTCCAACGCTTTGTAGAGGATTCTTTAAAAATGGCAGTGCGAACTCTGCATGAAAACGAGCAAATGCACGTAACACCACAAAAACATCGATATCGATCGATGTCTGAACGTAATGACGGCGCAATAAACTTTTATAGTGTCTTTGGTTTTTGGTTCAAATAAGCTGATCATGCATTGTTATAGATGTCTCTTATATACATGCGAGTTTGGAAAAGGATCTTTTGGAGGCAATTTTTTGAATGATCTCACTTTTATGCATCTACATGATTACCATTAATCGACTTCCTGAAATTGATGTCAACAAAATTACCTCTAGATTTGACGTAATGGCTTTTGTAAGATTTCTTCTATCATAATAAAAGCACTTTTAAACTTAAAACTATAAAGAAACATTGTCGATAATTCAGCCGAAAATTTACAGAGTTTCTTTTTGAACTTAGAGCGGCAAATAACACCTTACGGAGGAAATTCGTCACAAAACTGCCGAAAATGAGAGCTTGAAATCAAAAGTAGCAGAATTGAGTCGCCGTAAAAAGATGGATTTTATTTTCTATACAGGATTTCCTAACCCAGCAGTGTTCGATTGTATCTATGAATGTTTAAACCGTGGAAGTGAAGGAGATAACTTTATCCACTAGCATTCAAAATCAGATGATTTAACGGAAAATAAGAGAGCTGGTTAAGATTCCCCTAACTTCCCATGGCAGCTAAAATCAAAGTAGGAATTTTTAAAAACTCTCTGTAGGCTGAGGTAAGGGTTTAGGGAAGAGCATTGCAGCAATTTATTAAATAAAGGCAGACTCCCCTAAGCTGCATCACCATTTCGTGGATAAATTTTATGTTTTTGAAATTTACAACTTTTCCATTGGGTCCTCTGGGTCCTCAAGGGAAAAAGTTGATGAACATATGCCTGCCGACGGCACTGAGGTTCTTTGCCAGATACGCGAGAGCCTCCTTCTAAAAATAGTGAACTTTATAGCTCATATATGACCCACACCACTCTTAAACGGTTTCCCTGGTATCTAACCAGGAAGTGCCATTACCTTTGTAAGCTAGCTCTCAACAGGACACATTTCTGGCAGAGAGAGTGTCAAGTGGTCAGGAATTCCCATTATGAAATTTGATAGGGTAGATTCTGCCGAAAAGGGTTTGCTTATTGGCAAGCTTATGAATGAAAAATTTGAATCTGCAAGGGTCGGCGGGTATGAACCAAAGGAGCTAAGAGGGCATTTCCCAAATTGAGTGTCTACCAGAGGTAGATTGCTCATGGTGGATGTGTCAAAACTAGCTCAAGGTTGGAGCTGTGCTGGACAAGAGACGACGTTTACGCTTTGTATGAATAAAGTTCTTGTCTGGGTCGACAAGGAAATGTGTGGAATATTTGTCTTGGAGTACTCGTTCACCCTGGACAAAAAAAAAAAAGCTCAAAGAAGCGTGCAGTTTGGTCACACTAAGGAATATTTTGATCCAGTCTTTTGGTGAAATGTACGTACTGCATACAGAGCTACCTAACGCCTTTGTTGATAATCCTTTGCACGAATCGCCCCGACATTTTAGCCATAACTAGGTTCAGCATTCTTTAACCGAGACGAAGGATCTCTCCCATTTGAACAACTTTAAGGAATATCTTCATCGGTTCGAAATGAAGGACCGCTCGCAATGTTTTTTCTCGAAGACGGCATCTGCGGCCATTTTTCATGCTATTTTCATGCTATTCGAACCAGATTACCTTGGTTAGCTACTATTTTAGAACAAGGCGAACAATAATAAAAAAAATTTATCTTCCGCAAGCATCCATATTGGTATTCAAAACAAAGTTACATCCCAAACGAGGAGAGGTGGCGTGAGCGTGCATCTGTATTCTCATAAAGCATGCTACAGTAAGCCAATCAGAATCTTTGTAAGAATGGTTTAAATAAATCAATCGGTTGAACAAGACTGAAGCTGTCAAATTGTCAAGCCATTAAAGTAACAAACCTTTAAAGTTCACAAATCGAAATTGAATGCCGAATGTCGAATGCCGAATGTCGAATGCCGAATGCAAACACCTGGTTCGATTCTGAGCGTTATCTCTGGGAAGTTATTAAGAACCTGAACACTCATATAGGAAATTTACTTGAGATAAAGTAGGCTATGACAATACTTTATTCATCGATTCGATTTAACTTTAAATTATTCTAGCAATTGATGACGTACACCATCATTTCCAGTGGTTCTATAGCTTCAGCTTAGATTCAGGGAGGAGTGACAAAAAGATTGAGCTTTTATTATAGGATGCCGTCTTGTGACAATTCTGTCCAAAAAGTTTTAGCCTGGAAGGATATCAGTTATGACACTTCTTTGTAGAACTCATTTGAAACGTTTTGCTTGTTATTGATCTTCGCTAAGACATCGTCACAGCGAAGTAAATTTCCATTCCACGCTTACATGCACTAATGGAGGAGAATAAAACGCAGTCCCTCTTAAAGGGGTCTGGTGCATTTCGGCTTAAAAAAAATCGATGTCTTCTAAACCTTACCCATGAATCTGTCCTTGTCTGAATATAGTCTAAACCGCCTTGAATTTTCGAAATATTGCAAAGAAATTTTCTTCCGAGCGAAAATCGCTTAAGCACTCAAAGGCCCATTTTCAACGGCGCCGATCATTAAGTAGGTGTCTCATAAATTAATTAGACTACGACCGATTCATAGGTAAAGTTTGAAAGAGATCGATCTTTTGAACTGAAATGCACCGGACCGCTTGCAGAGAGACTGTATCTAAATTTCTTGGCTAAGGTTACTGTCGACAAAGTAGGGTGCCTTATGGCAAAATCGTCTTACGCGTGTTACTTTAAAATAATTAAAGCATGGAAAATAATAACCATAAAGTAAAGATTCTGGCATTGAGGAAAAAAAGGTTTTAAAAAGGTTTTTAAATAAGTTGGCACGTGCATGCCCTTAAACACAAAACTTCAGGTGTCCGCTTAATTGAATTGCCAGCCTCCGCGTTGACGCGGACATCCAAACCGTATAACTTAGAGGATAATAGGCTAACAAAAGTGATCGGCGTTTTTTATGTTTCTTTTGGTTCCTGAGAAAATCTGTTTCGAAGTTGGACAAAAAAAAAACATATCGATTGTCCTTCTTGTTCTTCGAGAATTATAAGCGGAAGGAAAAGTAGGCAAAGAAAGCTAAGGAAGAAGAAAAACGGTAGTGTGAACTATGGGCGGCCGTCACCACCAAAAATACAAGGATGTCAAATAGATCAGCAAGTACAAAGCTGGTTTAAGGATCAGCTGCAGGATAGAATAGCTAATAAGGGAATGGCATGGCCAAATTATAGACGGTTTAGTTTTCCTTCATGAAACAGAACACCCTAAACAGGAATAGTTTAGCTGATAAATGATAAACGGTCCAGTTGCCCATGTCGAGTTGGAACATGAAATTGCAACACAGTACACAAACGGTGTAGCGTTGCGTCAAATGGCACAGTGTAATGTCGAGTAGCACAGCGTACGCACAAACGGTGTACCGTTGCGTGAAATAGCTCAGCGTAGTGTAGAATGGTACAGCGTACACACAAATGGTGTAGCGCTGCGTGAAATGGCTTAGTAATGTCAATGGTACAGCGTACACGCAAATGGTGTAGAGTTGCGTGAAATGGCTCTGCGTAATATAGAATGGTACAGCGTACACGTAGCGTTACTTCGAATAACTTTGTAGAACATCAGACGCTCTATCTGAACATTAAATTGCTTAGCATTACACGAAATATTTCGATGTTGTGGCGAATCGTCGAGCTTGCTTGTGGCGTGACGTGTAGGCTATCTCGCCAAAACCACCAAAAATACAAACCGCAAATGGAACAGTGATCTGCTGGGGGGCATGACGTCATCGAATGTGAAGACTGTCGCGAAACCTTCACATGGTGTAGTCGCTGTGTTGAAGAGTCTTCACTTCGCTCTGCCGTAAAGCAGAGCCAATTCAGTGAGTTTCTCCTTTTTTTCCCCCGCCGATATTGCATTTATTCGTTGTCGTTCATGAAAGCGTTAATTAAAATAGCAACGAGATTGGATTCTACCATGGTTTGCCGGCCTTCCGGCTTACCACAGTTTGCACGCGTTGGTGAGCCTGAATGTTTATAGTATTAAATAGCGTTAAGACGTGCATTAAATGTCGATTGCCGAGTTCTCTTTTCTTTTCTGACTCGCACTTACTTTTCAATGAGAGTTTAACTGCAAAGGCTCTTTGAACATTGCAGGAATACGTGAGAAGTTGGATTTTGTGTGTGCCTTGGACGCCATGGTAAGTAAAACTGATATCCTTGATCTGTTTTGACATTGGAGAAATATAAAATGGTTTCCGTGTTTACATAGCCTGATGTAAACATGCGGGAGGTTGGGAGAACACGAGATAAGCGTAGGAAACCACGACGCGAAGCGGAGTGGTTTCCAGCTTATCGAGAAGAACGAAAACCGTGTTTACATACGCTCATGTAAAATGGTTTTATGGCCAATCAGAGCGCGCGAACTATTTGAATTATTT